GGGAGTACCTGGGAATCAAACAGATGGAGATGGGAGAACACTGCGGTCAATCCGTGGTGACCTTTCAATATCTGCACCACAAAAGGCAACTGATTTGAAATACCAAAGTTTTTAATGGAAAAGTTTTAAAAAATCTTTTAACGGACATTTACTTTTCTATGTGTTCTTTATCCTTTTCTTGTGCTGTGGAGCCCATCAGGTTGAACAACAGCATGCTCAAGGACTCAGCCAGTATCACTTCATTCGTGACTGGAAAACCAACGCGACTTGGGCTGGGGGGCATAAGCCTCAGCTCCAACCAAGTGATTAATTTAGTATGTCGTTTTGCTTTGACTAATTCAATAATATTTCAGGAATCTGTTACAGAGGACAGGCGCGTCAGAGGTCGTTTCTATTCATAGCCTGCTGTACATTGTGTGACCCATTTTTAAATCCATTGCTTGGATGTTTCTGTAGTTAGTCAGATGCCAAACCAAAGCACATGGCACACAGTCCACACATGCACAGTGCAAGAGACTGAGATAGGAAAGCGAGAATGCCACAGCAGCAGAAGATAAAGTGATGGTGTTTACAATGTTCAACAATGAAGGTAATCCAATAAATGTGGCCTTGCAGATTTAATCTAAAACATCATTGTTGTCCATCATGTGAGCGTTATCTGAGGCTTCACACTGCAGGATTTTACCTTTATCTCATTTTCATTTTCCTTTGCACAGGTTAATCATTACATGTTAATTACATGTTAATCATTTAAGTGGCTTTTTCGCGGCTTTCGTGTGACTCATGCTGAAAGGGCAGAAAGCTTACTCATTCAAGTAATTTATTAAGTAAAAAATACCAAGTATTTGCATGTGACAGCAATAGTTCCCAACTTTTGCAGCTTGTGACCCCCTCAAAAAAAAACTGTCTCTACTTGCAAAGCATAAGTCATCTGTTGCATATATCTACCAATTGTGACCAGAGAGATTTGTTAGATGTGTTATTGGAATAATATCCTCAAAAACTAAAATAATTCAGTATTTTAGAGGACAGAAAGCAAACATTAGAGGGAAGTCTAGAAAATAAGCAACTCTGTATAGCATAAATATTTTTTTTCTGTGCTTTCCTCTGCTGTTAATAATCCTGTGACCCCTCAAATTTATTATCACATTGTGGGGATCCTAACCCCTACATTAGGAATCACTGAATTAAAATATCTCAACTGTAAAAATCTGCTGCTTCCTACCATTATTAATTTAATATCACTAAGGTTTTAGACAAAATAAGAAAGTCTAAGAGGTCCGTTTGAGCTCTTAAGTCTTGGAATGGACACAGATTGTTATTTTGTGACATTTTATGGAACAATGGACTGAAATAACTTCATTGACAATTACAGTACTGGCTGGTCACAGCCCTACTAGTTACGTCAGGAATCTGTGGACATTATGAATGGGTGGTGGCTTGGTTTGCACACAAGTGAAGTTCAATACCTGACTCATTTAAAAGGCTTAGATCTTTTACAGCAGGATTTCTTGAACTTGTGCCACGCTAAGCATCACTCAAAACCAAAAGGTTTCTGACCTACTAATTCTGAATCATTAAGGAACCACAGTCTTCACACACCATCTGTAGCTAAGCTCAACACTTACCGACGTTGGTGGGGAAGATGTTCTCATTGTTGATCTGTACCTCAATCCAATCCATGAGCAGGCTCATGTATTTGGGTGCCGACAGTGCAGTCGGCCTCTTGTACTTGTGCTCGTCCTGCCAGCGGTATTCGTACTTGGGCCCACCGGACATGACAGGGCAGGTTTGATCGGTGCAGGAGTCACTGATGGTGCCATAGATGAGGTTGATGCGGTTGAAGAAGTCGACCACATGGACAGCCACCCAGTCGTTGAGGTCCTCGCCATGGGGCAGCTGCACGGCCTGCTTCAGGTCCAGCCCAGCATTCAGAGACGCCTGGGCCTTCTTGTGCAGCTCGAAGCGCTGCGTCCCGGGCTCAAACTTGCGCTTGGGCCGGAATGTCCTATCTTTGTTGAAGACTTGTTTCAGAGCCAGGGACATGGTTGCATGTGGTGGCGGCAACTGGTGATTTGTTTGAACGCTTCTGGTGAATTATTTACTGTTGAAAGTCAAAAAGGTTATGTAAAAAACCAGTGCAGCGTTTTCCTTATGGACTGTGTTTTGGTGTTTGTTTTGACTCAGTCTGTAATTCTGTGATCCTGCATATGATAAAACGAGAGGAGAGAGACACAGGGACAGAGTTTGGTTAATGAATGCACATTTACATTGGATTGCACAGTTTCTGTCAAACCTCATTTTGAGGTACCACTTAATCCTTATATTTTACAAAATATTACAATCTAGAGCTGCTCATAATATTTTTCTGTATTAAATTATCTTCTGATTATATTATTGATTAATCAATAAAATTATATGGTCTTTAAAATATATATTTTTTTAAATAGAGGGCAAATGCCCATCACAATTTCCCAGAGTCCAAATCCAAATAGATTCACTTTATTATCAAAAACATAAAAAAGCTCAGAATTAAAAAGTTGAAAAATAATCAAATAGTTGAAAATTGAATTGAAAATTGAAATTGAAAATGAATCTAGTTTTAAAACTATTTTGATTACTGATTAGATTATTATTGGAGATATTTATTAAGATAAAATGCTTAAAATGTTACATTCTTGTTCCACCTCCTTCAGTGTAAGTAATTTCTGTTTTTCTCTGTTTTATATAATTACAGTTTTATAATTAGTTTTTAAGCGGTTGCTTGGGCAAAAAAAGACATCTGAAGACTTCACCTAGAAACATTAAAGGGCTTTTTTTTCTCTAGCATTTTACAGATCAATCAACAAACCGATTCATGGAGACAATCATGGGCAGATTAATTGATAATGAAAATAATCATTAGTTGCAGCACCAATAACATATTTGGCCCAGTTTAAACTTACATGCAGGAATGTAGCAAAGTTTTAAGCCCCTTATCCACCTTCTTGAGCTGATATAAATCTTAAACTCATGATGTTTATCTTGAAAAGTGGCATAAAAATTGAGATCATGTGAAGATGAATGTATACATTTCAAGTAAAGGAGCATATATAAATTTGAATGAAAATGTGTGAATTAAAAGGTTTTCGTCTACTGATGATCAAAATGCAGGACAGTTTACCATCTAATCTACAATACATGGTTGTCTGAGAAGGCTGATTCAAATGCCGACCAGAATTCACCTTTTGTCTCATCACCTCAGGTAAACGGCAAGTCTCGACAGTGACAACAGAAAGGCCTGTTGAAACGATGAAACACCGTCCCTCAGTCAACGTGAGTCATTTCCTATTTCAGATACTAATTCACCGTGAAACCAAGAATCTGCGGAATGACAATAAAACGAAGTCTAACTGCCTGTTACCAATATAACAGGACCCTGCTTCGTCCATTTAGACCTCCACCTAAATTTCTGCACCGTCATCTTCACAATAATACAACCTTCACGTCGTTGTTGTCACATTTTCCGACATAAAAGCCAGAGATTAAACAGCAGGGCACATGACGGCTGTACGAAGTTTATTCGTGACGTGACTAGCTAACTCGGTCAGACTTGTTGCTTCCTGTAACAGCTAAAAAACCCAAACAAACCCGAAAGAAATTCACCTTATTCACACTCAATTCACACCACATCTGAGATAAAACCGTCGAAAATCAGTCGTTATCGCAGACGGGTGATCAAACGGTGATGAAATCGCACCGTTGAAAGCCACTTTCCCGAACTTACTTGTTCCGCCTTCCTGTTCCGTCAGTTTCCTTCGATGTTTTATCGAAAATTTTCTGATTACTGATCAATAGCTTTACGTCAACAACATGCACAGACTACATTATGGATACATGGTGCGAAACATGTTGTAGAATTACTGATAATTCAAAAAACATGCCACTTTAATAAAGAAACTAACGCCAGACTCCTCCCTACGAAACGAAAAGTATACCAGAGTCGAGTTAGAGGCACTACAAAGGACTTCCGGTGACAATCTTCAAAATAATGAACCCAGTAAACCACTGTAATGTAATGCAACATTTAGCTGTAGCCTAGTTATTAGCTGTAAACATTAAACATAAAACTAGAAATATGATCAATCACAAAGCTGTTACTAAACAACAATATCACTGCTTTTATTTCCCTGAAATTATTACACAGCATTTATTTATACCTATTAACTGCAGGGAGGGATGGACAGTGTGCCCACAGGCCCCCACCCCTCCTACACAGGTATAAAGACACCCACATTGAAATTTGTAGTTATTTTTTTCTGTTTGTGGTTGATTTCAATCTTTTTAAAATCATTTTGTGTATCTTTGTATTTGATTTGTGTTTGTTTTGGGCAATTTTGAGTCTGTTTCTGGTCATTTTGGATCTCTTAGTAGTCTTTGTGGTTATTTTGTCTCTTAGTTGTCATTTTGCATCTCTTTGAGGTCACTTTGTGTCTCTGTGGTTCTTTTGTGTTGCTTTGTAATCATATATCTTTCTGCAGTCATTTTGTGTGTCTTTCGGATAATTTTCTGTCTCTTTGTGGTTTTTATGTCTTTGTAGTCATTTTGCATCTCTGTGGTCATTTTGCATGTCACTGTAGTTGTTTTACATCTCTGTCTTGTTTTTCATTCTTTCTCTTTCATTTAATTGACTTTCACTTCGTACAGAAGGGCCAAAATGAGCCTTTGAATCCTGTGCCGACTCAGTAATGTTGTAATTAAGTTTTGGTACTGGCATTCTGGTCATTTTGTTTGTTTGTTTGATGGTTTTTTTGTTTGTTTGTTTTTAATTGTTGATTAGTTTTGTTATGTATTCTTTGTTATATTACTTTCAATTCACATTGATTACTTGAGTAAATTTTACTTCATAGTAGAACATTTTTTTCATTCTGTTTTTTATAATTTTACTAAACTAACCATTTACAATCTTATTTCAACACTGCCCATACATTCAACATTTAATACAGTACCAAACAAATGGGTAAAAAAAAAACAACTTTATTTTGAAGACAAATTCATCAACTTCCGGTGTTGTGTGGCCTTCAGTGTTGCCTGGTAGCTCAGAAGTACTTCCTTTGGCAGGGGGCAGCCTGACTAATCCCATTTATTTTATAACACAGTCATTATAAACCACATATATCATGTTTGATTTACTGATAGGAAATCCAAAGACAACATCTGGCTTTAAGTCTTCTAAATTCATGATTTTGCCCATAAATCTATTCACAGCCCTTTCACATAATGTATTTCAGCACATAATTCCCTTTTAAACTACTGGTTATTTATAGTGGTTATTTGTTTACTTAGTGCTATACAAGATGTCATAAATGGCTGAAATCCTCTCTAATATTTTGAGAACTCTGCTAATTTTACCATGTAGGTCTTTTATTCTGGAAGAAATTTACGTATCTCCCTTAGCAATACACAAACTTTTTCATGGCAGATTATCCACTTGATCTGCTCTGCGCATATATACATTGCATGTTTCTCGGATGTTACTATGGACAAATTTTGAGACAACAGGCCCCTGGGCACAGACATGTAGAAGGCTCCCAACCACTCCTACATACGAGAAACAGATAAGAAGAACAATGTGCTGTTTGTAAGTGGTTCTTATTGTGTATGTTTGAAGTTATCGTGTGTCTCTTTGTAGTTGTGGTATAATGGTGGTTAAGGTTCCCCTTTTCAGATTGGTAAACTTCGTGTGGAAGTAAATCAAACTGACTTTGCACAAAAATTTAAATCGCAGCATTAAATTGTGCAGTTCTATCAGGTTCATTCTACTTTATTTGACATAAAAAAAAATAAAAAAAAACTTCTCTTAGATGGCGGCAGATTAAAAGGAAAAAAACAAGTTGCACATCTATCATATATTCCCATTATACTCCAAAATACCAGAATATAAAATTAGTTTCTTCGTTAATATGAAGACACTGACACTTAACATTCAAACCACAACAGACAGACAGAGATCCTCCTTCATGGCTGACACACTGAAGTTCAATTTACAAATGCACATTTATTGTCACTGAGGCCTGTTTAGCTGTATCAGTACTGTAGCCGAAGCTGGTCAGTGTGCACCATTCATAAAAAGCTCTTTGTTTTGCTTGTTTAATGGCCAGTTGAAAGGATGCTTTGTGCAGCACTGGGACAGAATGTGCCTTGGTTCTGTCTACTTGTCAGGCTCAGCAGCGGCTTCAGCTCCCTCAAGCTTGGCCTTGTTCGATATGGAGTAATGGTACGACCTCATGGACTCCTCAACCTTCTTGAAGTCCGGACGTTCCTCATGCCTGATGAGAGACGAGAGAGGAGGGTTGTGGTTAATGGGAGGCAATGTCACAAGATTGTATGAGTTAAAGACCATCACAGTGGCAGTGCATCAGGCTTTTAGACCTGCTCATAGTACAATACATGTACAGTTTGTGCTGCAACTGCTGAGGGTGAAACTGTGAACTACAGGGGCGTAGGTTTGCTTCCAGAAGTGGGGATGACACACTGAAGTAAAAAGAAGTACTCTACAGCATTTGAGTATTTTTTTAATCATATAAACATGATATATTTATAAAAAAAACAGGCTATTATTGTATCATAAAAAATATATAGAAATGCAATGTAACCTCTGTCTGTGCACTAACTTTCCAATAGGTATTTCTGTATCTCTGAGCACTGTGCTTTACTGTCTTACCTTTGACTGATGTGAGGTTATTAGGAGAATATTAGTGGTAAACAGAAATATAGATTTCTTTAACTAAAACCAATGTTTGGAGTAATATCTGCAGGTATTCCTTTTTACCAAAAAGATAGGGTAGCCTGTATTCAGCCTGAGAGGTGAAACCTAGGGCAAAAGTCTGCAAAGCCCTCGATGTACCACTCCCTACTGCTCATTACTTTTACCGCACGGTAATAACTAAAGGCGAGTCAAAACAAGTATATCAACATTTCTATCAGCTCTTTTCCTGTCAGCACTGTGGTGACTGGATAATGAGAGGATAATGTTTGAAAAGACAAATGCAAAGAATCTATATTAACCACCCCCAACCCCTTCCCCCCTCTTCTTGTATGTTGGCATCGACTATGCTCCGAACCAGCCCTTCTTCTGGTTACAATCTGTTCTTGACAACCTCCAGACCTCTTTTATTCATTCAAAAATATAAACTCCAGAGATTGAATGTGCGCATTTCATGTCTTCTTTTCAAGTGCACTGAGTTTTTGAATTTGTACTCATCATGATCGCATTTAATATGATCACTGAAATTTGATCATAGAGCAGATTATCTTATCAAACTCACACATGGACAGTGGCGTCCAAAAGCCTGTGTGTGTATATATTATAAAATCCACCATAGTTGTATGAACTGCAATATGAACTAAAGACAGAAACACTCTTTTGCTTTGAGGGACCTTAAAGTCATACTCTGAATTGTGTTGTGATGTTATGTTTTATACACATGTGCAGTATGCATGTAATTTGTCCTTGTCTCTCTCTTACAAAAGGGATTTTGATCTCAATGAGACTCACTGATTAAATAAAGCTTAACAAACTAACAAACAAACACATGCACTGGATTCAGACAGTCAGTTTCTCACTTGTATGTCCAGCACTCTTTCATCAGCACATACATCCTCTCTGGACATACTGTTGGAGGATCCATGCGGCTCCCACTTTCAATAAAGCGTATCACCTCTGGTCCTTTCATTTTCTGGACAAAGTGGAAAAAAAGACAAGAGCTGTAAAATGACATTCAGGACCAAGTCGTGTGAATACTGTGATCAAGTTAACATACAAAGTTGATAGATGACTTTGCTACTGTACCTTGTAAGGTTTCCCTCCATAGGAAAAGGCCTCCCACATGGTGATACCAAAACTCCACACATCACTTTTACTGGAGAATTTGTGGAAGTTTATACATTCTGGAGCATACCACTTCAGTGGCCATTTACCTGCAGTGCGAGCCTGCACGACACAAAATGTATGACAATAAGCAGCTTGTCAATGAGTAACTGAAGGCAGACTGCATCGGTATTCATAATTAGAGCCAACATATTGTATTTAAAGAGGAAAGGGGATGATATGATGATTTCCATATTACATTTTAAACCCTATCAAAGCAGAAAAAATAAGCAACAAACATTAGAGTCACTATATGTAAGCTAATGTTACTTTTGAAAAACATTGGCTAATAAGCATGCCTAATTTTTTTTCAGTTTTTAAACGAGGAGATTCAATATTTATATGTAAATCTCTAAAGCAACAGAATGTAAAGCTGCTGATTTTGTTGTGGTTTAAAAACATCTGGGAACTACTGATGTGGGATGGATATAATATAAGTCTTGTTGAATTACACAGTATGTTCCACTTTAAAGTGTCTTGTATTATGTCCTTGGAGTTGGGATTCACGTGACTGTCTGATAACTACATTCCTTCCAGATGTGGGTCAGTAAACCGGTAAAAAGGAAATCGATTGAGTGTTTACTCTTGTTTGCACAGAGCATGTAACAGCTTTGGGGTGATAATGTTGAGTTGGTATTTGTGCAACGTGAGGTCAGTAATTCACAGGAAAGCAATCAATTTAAGATAAACTATCTATTTGTGTTAGCTGCAATATTGATAACCTTCACACCCCCACCCTTTACTTAATCTGCATTTGTCTTGGAGTGCAACTCCTTTAAGAGAATTTGAGTACATCACAAGTACCTTGTAGTAGTTGTCATCTGCTCCCAGGGCCTTGGAGAGCCCAAAATCACTGATTTTGGCGAACTGCTGGTTGACCAGCAGGACGTTACGAGCTGCTAAATCTCTGTGCACAAAGTTCTTCTCCTCCAGATACTTCATCCCCATCGACACCTGGTGCATCAGGTTGACAATGTTCTCCGCACTTACAGTATCCCTGTGGGACAAAAATAAGATGAGGATGAAAAAAAAAGGATTTTTATTTTCCTTGTACAAATATATTTTTTTCCTTTTCCAGATCATGAGTTTAAGGATGTTGTGTGTCACGGGTTCCCGGCCAACAGAAATCTGAGGAGGCACAAGATGATTAAAGAGATTTTATCCGAGGGCTTTACAATCTGGACAACATAAGACAATGATTCCTAACCTGTTTTTTGCCTTTACTGCCTAAAATGCAGCAGTGTGTGTTTCTTACCCTTCATCATGGCCGTAGTAGCTTTAACGTGGACATTATGTTATGAGCAGCTCAACTTAAGAATAATTCTTCCCACTCAGATTGTTTCATTTGAAGGACTGGAGGCTTCAAGTGATGGAAGTATCCAGTATTTCATAAGAAAACAACTTTTATATATTTAGTAATAAAATAAATTAATTGTAGTCATTTTGTGTCTCTTTGAGGTGATTCTTTATCGTCATTTAATGTGTCTCTCTATTTTTTTTGTCTCTTTCTTACTATTTTGTGTCTCTCTGTGGTAGTTTTTTTTTTGTCTTTTTGGTAGTTTTGCATCTCTCAGTGGTCCTTTTGTGTGTCTTGTTTTTCTGTCATGGTTGTTTTGCTTGTCTTTGCTTTTTTTTTTTAAGTGAACCGAAATGAAATTCAAATTCACGTAAATATTTTCCACCGCGTGCTCATCGTGTTTGCTTAGTCGAATCTGATAATGTGTCTGATTTTCTATCGACTTGAACTCACTTATTGCTGCTGAGGAATTTGTTGAGAGGTCCAGCAGAGGCCATCTCCATGACCAGCATCAGACTCTCAGCGTTGCAGAGGCCGAGCATTCGGACGATGAAGGGGTTGCTCAGCTGGTGCATGATCTCTGCCTCCCTCATCATCTCCTCCTTCACCAGCTTCTCATTGTCACTCTTCAGCACTTTGATGGCCACGTCTATCTGACCCCTGAATGACGACAAACACATACGGTTTTGGATGGCTGTAAATCTCGGGCTGATTAAAACATACTGTACATCATACACAAGCCTACATCTTGTTTGTTTAAGGGGGTTATTGTTTATGTTTCGGGTTCAATCTTTTCAGTCCATGCAAATAATGTCGTTTAATATCTCAGCCCTTACGAATCAGTCTTGAGGACGCCCTTCTTGACACTGCCAAAGTTCCCAGAGCCGAGCTCCACCTCATCCATCAGCAGCTGAGTCCTCTGGATGTTAAATCTCTTCACATCGTTGGGGTTATGGTAAGGGTTGAACCCACTGCAGTCCATCGGCAGAAGGTCACGCTCTGCAGGGACGCTGGTAGCTGCATTGGAGGCGGCTGCAACAGCTGTAAATTGAAGATACAAATGAGGTAAAAATGCAGTCCAGCGTGTTCTGTTATTCATCTGCTGGCAGGTTTTCACATGTCTGTTCATACTGCTAAACAGCTGGTATCCATCAAGATAGTCTTTTAAGCCCCATTTAAAGCCCCATTTAATTTTAGCGATTAAATGATGAGTTTGTTTTGTTTTTTGCACAGCATTAGTCTTTGAAACACTTTTTTCAAAATGCAAATTTTCACCATGATTATCGTCTTTAAGAGATTTTAAAGAGGGGTGAGCCATGGAAACATAAAACCTCAAGGGCTTTTAATTAAATTTTATGGCAATTTAACTGCATCCAGTGGTGGAATAAAACTAATTTACTCAAGCTCTGCACCGAATTTTGAGGTTCTTGTACTTTACTTGAGTATTCCCATTATATGCCATTTTACACACAAACTATATAATCTGTATAAAAATATGATGCATTGTTACAAATGAAACTACCCAATAATATATAAAGTACTTCAAATTAGCTTCAACCCCACCAGCTACAATATCACATTGCTACCCATACATTAATACAACTGCAATAATATAATAACCATTAAATAGATAAATAAAATGCATTTTGCTGCTAGTACAGATAACAGAGCAGACAAAGTGTGAAGTGGTTTTAGCTTCTTGCACTTCAGGGGACTGACCTCGAGGTGGCGGCGTGTAACCATTTTGTCCGGTCCGCCTCTGAAAGAATGACAGGAAGAGTGAATGTCGGACATTGAAAAAATTTGCTGAGTTAAAGAGTGCAGGTTGTTGTCAATACTCACTGTTGCAGGAAGACTTGGTGTCTCTGCAAGGTTGTGAAACAAATAAGATTTAAATGAGCAATTTCAGTAGTAAATGTAATGATTTAAATGGCTGAATGCTACAAATTACCCACAAACATGAACTGGAAACTCTGTGGTTTTTGCATCAGTGACAGAATGTTAGTGTAACTGAGGAAAGGGAATAATAATATAAGATGTTCAGTACTTCCAGCAGCTTTGCTGTTAAGGCACGCCTCCCCGAGAACAGTCACCAGGCCGTCAGGTTTCATCTTCAGGTACTCAACCAGCTGGTGAGATTGAGATAAAGTGAAATTATAATTCAGAAAAAGGCCGTCAGCTCCAACAGAAATAACAGATAGGAGAAGAAAAGATATCTGGAGGGTGTACCTGCCAGATTGTGTCAAATTTTGTCCCCTCTGGCATGGAGAATTTCCCTGATTTGTCTTGGAGAATCTGATAGTGGTACACGGTTTTCCCGTATGTCATGGAGAGAGCATAAGTACCAGACTCCTCTCTGTCCCTCACTCTGAGAAACACAAAACAGTTTGCTTTAAACCTACACCAAGACTTTTTGCACAAAATCTTCAGAAGTTGGTTGACAAACAGGCACAAAAGTAGGTAGAGACAACATCACCCTGAGCAACTTACAGAAACTTGCCGTCTGGCTGTGCTCCAGAGTAAAGCCGCCTCTCACCTTCCTGGCGGCTGATTTTACTGTGATACCAAGGCATCTTCTCGTGGGCCGTGGTGGCGATCAGCTTCTCGAGCTGAGGTGCTTGACTGATGATGGCCTGCTCCATGGCTTCCCCCTGAACAGAAAAAACAGACACAAACATTCAGAACACACGTGTCCTACGTATGAATCAGCCGACGTATGAATTTACCTCCATATATACAAATTCATTTAGTAAATGTGTGTAAAATATTTTGGCTCTGGACACCTTGGATTTTGCAGCAGTATATTTTAATGTAGTCATCTGAAAGAGGTGCACATCGCACTTTGCAACCATAGCTTATCTTTCAGACGTTTCTCAGCCACTATGTGTCAAATGTGGTGCGGTGGAGCCGAGAGGCAGTGGTTAAGAAGCTCACAGATGTTTCAACTAAGTTAAAACACTTCTACAACCACCTGAAATACTGCATTATAAGCAAACATCCTCCATTCAAAATGCTACTAGTGGAAAATGTCCACCAAAGTAAATTGTTCTGCAGAAAAACAACCCTGTGGCTGAAGCATTATGATAAATTACATTATTAGAAGATGCACTAATGGATAAGCAGCATTTTACTTTTGTAGGTGGTTGAAGTAAAGTACTTTACGCACGGTTTGGTAGTTTATTCCAGTGGTTTCCAAGACGATTAATGGAAATAAGGAAAAACAAAGTTCTGCAACAAAAACTTCTCTCTAATCTATATTCTCTGTATTCAATAAGCTTTCCATGTGTTTTGTGTCATGTCAAATTTTAATTTGCAAAGTAATTAGAAACTTTATTTGTCAGTAAGTGTGGTACGAAGGACAATATTTCCCGCTGAAATGTAGCGGAATAAAAGTATTAAGCAGCATAAACTGGAAATACTCAAGTAAAGTAGCTCAAACCTATACTAAGTACATTACCTGAGAAAGTGTTCTCAGTTACCTTCTCCCAATGCTGATGAGAGGTGATATTGCAGAGAGTTTCAGGCCACATAGTTTGCATACAGCAGATTATGTTGCAGCAGGAGGCAGAGGGCCAGATCTCAAACTGAGTAAAATTTCCAACATCACCTGGAGATTCTGCACATTTTTCTGTGTGTGTATCTTTGGGACATTTCAATGAGCTCAGGCCCTGAGGTGAGACTGTGTTTACTCCATTAGGGTCTTTGATGGAGGCACATCATGGTCAGATTTCAGTTCAACAAATTTGTTCAGTCTCTTATTCTTATCTTTAAATGTGTAAGACGGATATTTCAGCTGCTGTTTTTACTTCTTTACCATTAAGCTCTGTGCCAGTTAAAAGATCAGTTCAACCAAATCACAGTAACATACAGTATTTTCACCCTGCTGGGAAAGCTTTCAGTGGAGCCATTTTTCTACTAAAACCGTTGAAAGTGTCTCCTGAGGATTATCCAGAGTGATGGGGACATTGATTCTGGAAAGAGTTGTGTTTCTGAGGAACTTTTCAAAAGTCATTTTCACCACTCTGTAACAGGCTGGAGACGGAAATATCTGAGACAAAAGCCAAAACATGGACAGATAAAATCAAAACTGTCTGCATGGGTAGATATCCCTGAACATTTTTGTAATATGGGTGAATCGACCATTTAAAATCTCATGCTTTTACATTCTTAGTTATTTAGTTTTAATCTGAACTGCTACTTGAAGAGAAGTGGTGAGTATTCAAGTATTCAAATAATTTACCTAACGAAGGTAGCAACACCACACAAAAATGAAATATTATATATAATGTATAACATATAAAATACTTTCAAAATTACTTTCAATTTTTGACCCAAATGAAAGTACAGTGTTGTTGACAACTTAATGTAGTTAAAGTATTAAAAGTAAAAGTTCTCATTGTGCTATTATATTAGACCATTATTGATATATTGATATGTGAGCAAGAGCTTATCTGAACTACTTCGTATACTGTTGGCTAGTTTAATTTTCATCATATTTTATAAACTGATCATGATTTTTATTTAATATCTTAATGAAAGTACAGTTTTTCCCTCTGATATGTAGGAAAGTAAAAGTATAATGTAGCATAAATTGGAAGTATTCAAGTAAAGTACAAGTAGCTCACAACTGTACTTCAGTACAGTACTTGAGTAAATGTGCTACTGTGTTACTTTCCATCTCTGTTGCAAAATTCTGAACTCACTGCTTCTTAAAGGCTGTGAACTGTAATAAATATTGAATGATAACGTTCTGCAGAACCAACAATCTCAGCAGAGCCTCACCTCCAGGTTCCAGGTCTGCTTCACGTACTCCCTCAGCATGTTTTCTCTCAGGCTGTCAAACACGCCGGGCTGTATCGGTGTGTCCGGGGAGCGCAGACAGGGTTTCCTCAGCGTGGACACCAGCCCATCAGAGTCCTTGCTGTAAAACTCACAGAGCTCGGCGGGCCCACAGTGAGGCTTCCCGCCTGTGATGCAGTAAGTCCCATTGAGCTGTTTCTCTACGGAGTAGTGGTGAAACTCCAGGTTCCACACAATGGAGAGGACGTATCCTCCCAAACTGCGGAGACACTGTCGGAGCAAGAAGAGGCCGTCAATCATCCCAGCCAGCTTCAGATGCTTCTCAGCGTCCGAGCGACTGATGCTGCCGTAGTAGAAAGGCAGCTCGGCCGCAGGGTCGGTGGACATGGTGAGACCTCAAGCTGGACTTTGGCTTGGAGTCCTGGATGTGGATGCTGAAAGAAAAAAGATCGAATGATCAGCATTTAAACAGCGGTGAATGTTTACGGTGATACAGTAGAGCAGTGTGTGAGCAATACACAGAGTTAAATCCAGTCTGTGACCTCTGACCTTCCAGCGTTTTAGCCCCTACTTCCTAAACAAAACAGTTGTGTAAAATGAACAACATAAAATTCAAACAAACATCATCTTAAGAACCTCACCTCCTTTTCTTTTCTGTTAAGTTTTACCAGGATAAACTCTACACTGTACAGGATAATGTTTTTCTACAGGACCGTCAGCTCTGCACAGATGAGGTACAATATGTCTGGATGAGATATTTAGCAAGAAGCACCCACACTTTGAGACTGCACAAAGATTGCAGATTGACACACTGGTGACAAAAGCCACAACAGGAAGTTGCAGTCCGCCCTCACAGCCTCCTTTCTCCAGCATCGCACTCTTCCGTTGAACAGGTGCTTTTTGGTTCTAGATCATTCCCTCTGCTTTAGAAACACAAGTCTGTACATTTTCCTTTTATGGGAGGAAAACTTTTTTGGAAATTTTAACCCTCTCATGTTGTTCGAATAACTACTCAATACACAGTGTGGTGTGTCTGGTAGGAATCTGACTTTAGTGGAAGTGTCTGAGCTGAAGTGAGGATGTAGAGATAAGATTAAAATCAAGCAGTGTGGCATAATTAGGTGGTAGCAGGTGGAAAATGCCTGTTGGAGTTTAAAACAGAAATTGATAGTGATGATAAACAGTCAGCTAACGTTAGCTCACAGCACACAGAAATGAGATAATCTGAACATGTAGACGTACTTGAGATAGAGATTTTATGATAATAACATCAAATTACAAATAAGCAAGAGGAAAACATGAATAAAATGTCAGAGATCAGCCTGTTGGGTTTTAGATCTTGAATATCAACAATGAAAACAAATATGCTGACCTTGACTTAAACTTTACAATCTCCATCAGTTTCCAGTCTCCGAATGGAAAGATGCAGTTAGACAAATATTATTGATACTGACACTGAGAAGATCCTTATGGAGGTGCCTTAGAGTCTTTAAGTTCTCACCCTCCAACACAATATAAAATCATAGAAAGAAAGTGTGAAAACCTCAGCTTCCTGGCTACATACCTGCACTGCTGCCCACATCCACAGTGGACAGCCCAGCAGAGACATATAGTTTGCCACAAGAAATGAGACAAGAAATGAGACTCCACTGTGGCTTGACCCCCTTCTCACCACATCAAAAACTTCCAGACCCTACCCTGGGGACAAACAGGTACCCCACACATCTAGAGACAAGCTGTGATATAATTTCACTGCTGTGTGAGTGTTTTATATACAGCACATAAACTTATTTGTGTGGTGTTCCTTCAGGATATTTTAATCAGCATAACTTAGTTTAGATGAGACAAAATGTACTAGTCACTTTACGAATTAATATTATATGATATCACATACAAAGCATCTGATGGCCTTATGAAATTCTTCTTACACATTAATGCATCAGTGACTATAATCCAGTCATCCAGCAACTTTCTTTGTAATGTTTTATTTTAAAAGTCCATCATTACTACTTGAAAGAAAACTTGCTTTCTTGAAAGAAAAAACTGTTGTTCTAGTTAGTTTAATTAGTTGTGCTGAGTTTGTTATTGACTTCCAGTCTTCCAGATGAACTGAAATTGAAATTGAAATTGAGATTGAAATTATTCCTTTTTTTCTTTCCAACAGTATCTTTATTTGTTTTCTGAACAGTTTAACACATATAACCACCAGAACATAATACTCCCGCACCCAACCGTGAAAAACAACAGATAAGTAATGACGATTAAACAAAGTACCGAAAAGAAAAAGAAACCCCAGATGGGTAAAGTAAGTTACAGAAAAGAAAAAAACAAAAAACAAAACAAAAAGCAAAAACTTAAATGCATACACAATAACGGTTAGAAGAAGAAAAAAAAAAGAAAAGGAGGGGCTGTACTTACACACACTCACATGAATGTGTTACACGTATGCTGGTTGAGGACAATATTAGGTTTAGTTGGTATCAGATCATTTTACGCCAGATAACATACAGCTCGTCCAGGTGAACTGCAGGGGGCTACTTACAGATCATCCCCAGATGCTTCCATTAAATGGGACAAGTCTTTATTTGCTAGAAAATCCCTGAAGGGGCCCCAGATGTTGTCAAAGATTGATTGCTTACCCCTGAATGCATATGTGATCTTTTCCAAGGGCAGAGTTGTAGATAATTCTGAAATCCATTTACCTATCCTTGGCCTATTCACCTCTTTCCAAGTTACTGCTATGACTCTTTTGGCCAGCAACAGGCCTATTTCTAAAAATAGTCGATATTTCCTTCTTATATTGCAGTTAGCTGGGTAAACACCTAATAAGAAAGGTTTAGGTCCTAAAGGTATTTTTATGGCTAATATATCCTCAATGCACGCACTTCACTTCTTCCCAGAATTTCTTTATTTAAGAACATTGCCATAAACAGTGAAAGATTGTGCCCTTTTCCTTTTCTCATTTTATGCAAACATCTGGTATAGCACTGTTGAATTTATTGAGTTTATCTGGAGTCATATATGTACGCATTAACCAGTTGTACTGCAGAAGTTTAAGGCGTGAGTTTACTGTTTGTGATTGTGCTTTGGTACAGGCACTCTCCCACTCCTCAGTAGTGATGTTCTCCTGTAAGTCCTCTCTCCATGCCCTGAGCCTATTCACTGACGTTTCTGAGGATTCACCAACCAGTTCCTTATATATTTTGGAGATTAGGCCCCTTCCCTGGCAATCCTTCATCACCATTTCTTCAATTATCGACAGGATAGGAATAGACAATGACTGGTTTTGTTGTGTTCTAATGAAATCTCTCAGTTGTAAATATCTAAAGAACTGGTTATGCCATATTTGACAACAATTTCATCAAATGACATCAGATGTTTACCATCAGGACTGTAAAGATCTCCTATTTTTTGTAAACCCTGTTCAGCCCAGATTTTAAATCCTCCCTCTCCTCCTCCTGGAGGGAAGAAATCATTTCTCCGTATCGGACTAAATAATGAGAGAGAGTCAGCTTCTTTAAGGTATTTCTTAACTTGGTGCCACACATTAATCATGTTTCTAGCCATTGGATTCTTGGTGTTCATTTTGAGTTTCCTAATATTAGCTGAGTATAGGTAAATGGGTAAAGGCAGCTTTAACGTATAACCTTCCATCTCTCTCCACAGAGACTCATTCTCCTCTGCGTAACAGAACATCAGCGTTCTTCACTGTGCAGCCCAATAGTGCCATAGCAGGTTTGGGCATTTAAGCCCCCCTCTATCATAGGGCAAGTACAACAGTGACAGGCGCAACCTGGGATGTCTGTTATTCCATAAAAACCTGATGAAAAGTGTCTTTAGCTGAGAGAATAAATTGCTTTGTGATGGCAGTGGTAAATTTTGAAACAAATACAACAGCTTAGGAAGTACATTCATCTTGAGAGTATTTATTTTCCCCCACTAATGACATTGGTAAAGCTGCCCATCCGTCTAAAGAGTTTGAGACCTCTTGCACAACTGGTCCATAATTAGTTTCACTAATATTATTAAGCGTTAGTACAATTTGAATGACTAAATAAGTGAAGCGGTTGACAACTTTAAATTGTGCAGCTACTACTGGTGGATTTCCCCTTTCTTCTTGGTTTAATAACATAATTGATGTTTTAGATTTGTTAATCTTATAAATGAATATACTTTAATTTATTATTAGAAACTTTATTCTTCATTTAAGCTGAATTGCTTGTTTGTTTGTTTGTTTGTTTGTTTACGCATTTCACGTTTTGCATGTGTAGCTCATCTGGTGTCCTCTGACTAAAAGTCACATGGTCATGTTGACCACTCTCTATTCAACCCATAATTAGAGTTCATGCCAGGGAACTTCTTAGGAGATCATTATTTGATAAACTGGAACTTGTGGCTCTGTAAAATAAAGTGTTTCTCTTTTTTTCACATAGGCAGCAAATTTTCATCTTTATTGAGGACAATGGTCCGAGTTATTTAGTGTTAGGCGACTATGTTGGTGATTGATTAATCGCTCAAGTCATCCATAGATCCAACTTTTCTCTGAATGCTGGTTGGACTGTGATTGGTATTTAGGTACCGACTAAACAAATGAAAAAAATACCCCAATTTCCTGTATTTATTAAGATATTAAGTTAATTTTATGAATATTAAGATATTAATATATTTAATTAAATAATTAAGAGTTAAGAGTAAGTTTTCCATTATTTTTCTTTTTGTTTTGTTTAAATTCCCAGTGGACACTGAGCAACATAGACACCACAGTGATAAATGTTCCCATCGACTCTGAATTCATCACTAAGGTCTGAGATATAACTTAAACTGAAAGAGAAAGTGAGTTTAATTACAAACCAACAAACGCTCCTAACACGCCATGACAAGAATATTAGCCATGCCTCTGTAAATTTATGACATTGCCAAACTAACCAAAAACACTGACACTTTTCCAACAACGACAGCAGCCAAGTCTCAGCTCGGCTCATGTTCTTTTCAAAATATGATTTTTATGGCTTTTCTACTTCCCTGTATATCATGAACCACGGACGCGCAGAGTGAAGAGAGATGATGTAACACATGACACAGTTCCTGAGCCAGTTTTGAACCCGCAATGCTGCGTGGTATCTTTCACACCAAGCCTGGGACTGTTTTCATCAAAAGACACTTTAAAAGACAGAAACTGGCAAAAGACAGTGCAGAAAAAGATGCTTTAGTAAATGAGGTGTTGCAGAGTAAGCAGATAGTGACCCGCCGTGCAATGGAAAAAGTCCTATGAGTCACTCTGTTTTCAACAAGCGGAGGAGTACATAAGTGACACATGCCAAAATCTACAGGCCAGACTGTTTGTTTTCCACTGACAAGAGGGTGATTTTTTTCTGGCCTGATTTAGGTCCTTGGAGCAAAGTAATTGTACTTAAATACAAAGCAAAAGCACTTTTCTGTTTTGGAGAGAAAGTGAGGATCTATATCCAATCTTGATCCTAACGATGAAGAGCTCTCTACAAGTGACAGTAAAAGCTCAGACATGTAGTACCACTACGATATGAATGATTTTGCTACCCTCACTGACTGATGCGAGCTGTGTTTCCTGTCGATTACTCACACACAACTTTCTTTACCAAACAACAAAGTAATTTTTTGACTTAAGAGGTCTCTACAGCAAATCCTCTCAGTACAGTCCCATCAGTTGCTAAAAGAAAAGTAACTGCTGAAAAAAAAAAAGATTAATTTAAGATCTCTTATTCACGTTGTATTGATTCATACTAACATTTTCGAATTAACACCAAATACTAAGTAGCTGCACCTGATGGGAATTACATTAGTTTCATGCATTTGGTCATTAACCAAAGCATTGGACAAGTTAATATTTTGGCCCGATGGTGGCGCTAGATTAACTGTTGCGATCAGTGAAGTGATTAAAATGTAAACTCTGGGGACCATGAATGCCTGCACAAAATTTCATGGCAACATTTCACTAAAAACCAAAACTGTCAACATCAAGGTGCCACTCAAGGAAAAGTCTGGGATCACCAAAGTCAGTGGGATTCATCCTTTGGGGACCAGGAATGTATGTACAAAATTGCATTGCATTGTTGCCAAATCATTTTATGTCAATTGATTAATCAACTAATCAACTAATCATTTCAGCTCTACAGTACTGGTTGGTTTCCGGGTATCAGGGGAAATAATGACATGATAACTGCCATGTCGAGTGGCGGTCATTAAGTTTTTGCCCCTCAGAGGTTAACCACGACCTGGACAGTGGTGATTTAAATAGTCTCCTGTGTACATCTGCTTGAAAAGAGCAAAATCTCAAAAAGCAAACTCACCCCAGCGTCGTTCAGCCTGCAGCACCTCATCCATGCAGAGACATTTTACTCTCCTGAATCATACATGTAAATCCCACCATGAGGTCAGTGATTTAATTTGCCTCTCTGACCAATACAAGCTGTGTTTTCTGTAGATTATGTGATTCACACCAAATCAAGACCATTCCAGCAACAACTGTTTAACTATTGGGGTTATTTTAGGTCTTGATAATGTTGGTTGTGCTATCAGGAAGTGAGCTCCGTGTTATGTTACGCAAAACATTCCTTGATTCATACATCAACATTCGAGTCTGTGTAGGCATCCACCAACAGATAATGTGTCCTTTAACTCGCATACATGAGGTGATTTTTCCCCAAACTGGTCTTTAAAAACAACTGAAAGCGTAGGAGGACTTGACCTGAATATCAGATCAGGGGCCTAAATGCCCCAAACTGAAGCATAATTTCCTCCGGCGATGGAAACAGTTGATATTCAGATAAACAGTTTTTTCCTGTTATGATTCATGTTGTATCATTCCAATCTCAAACTGAGCTTTAAATATACAATCCAGGAATTAAGTAAATTAAATGCACTTTTCATTTAAATGCCTAAATACTTATCCCCCAGCAACACAAGCCTCAACAGTTGTTTCATTTCTATTAATAAGGCAAACAACATCTGCAGCAAACTGTCAGTGTAACTGTAATCTACCTATAATAAGGCTTTTGTGTCAATTGTGGTTTAATCTGAAACTAAGTGTAATGTTCAAAGTGTTCATAGACACACATTACACTGAAAATTAACAAGCACAGTTTGTCCATAAAAACCCTCTTTGTTTTGTCCAGACCAATATTGTCCGACTGTGGCTGGAACATTTTGCAGATATGCTTCAGTCCAGGACCAAAAATACATCCAGTAATTTCAAGAAAAGTTACAAGCGATAAAAGACACATACACACGGACCTCTTGGGTGTGTTAAAACCTACCCATTTTTGGTTTTCTATTCCAAGGCACAATGAAAGCAGCTCTTTTTATTTTGCACATGTAATCTCTACTTTTGTAAGCCAGAGCAACAATGCCTCAGCCTGACTGCGGTACACACACTTTTATTCTTGTTTTTTACAGCTCGGAAACAGCTGTGGAAATAAAATAAAAATACCACTCAATTAAACTGAAGATTTTTGAAACAGTTGCTTGAATTTAACAGATCAGTAAGAATAGAAATAAATATCACAGATTACTGTATGTTAACAGACTCAATTGAGATTAAATTCACAGTCATTTTAAAGCTGTGGGAGAGTTTTAGTTTTCCTCTTGAGGTTGTGGCTGTTAAATAAATTAAAACAAAATGTTAAAACATACCTTGAACATGTGGTTTGATGGGAAACTACTACTATCAAACTACTCTTCATTAAACCATGTTTAGTTTGAAGCATGTGGCATTTAAGAGAGAAAGATTGTTAATTAACCAAACAGTGCTGTAGGTTTTTGTTTAATTTATTCTATTATTCAAGTTTTATTCAGGCTGAGTCACAACCTAATTATATTGTCACCTATTGTATCATTTTTTGTCTTTTTCACAAAGGAAATAAATGTAATCTACCAATCCAAAGTGTGTCTGCTGTTAAAACTAATATAACTAGAGAATCTACTTACGTTTCTCTGCTTCACTGCTAAACACAGCGATGCTGTTGCTTCAAAGACAAAGATATATCTGTTGATCTGACACCAGTGTAAGTTGCTGTCTACAAGCAGGCGTTAGTAACAATGAACCACACACACACACACACACACACACACACAAAAGCTAATGCATACCCAGAGCTCTGAATCAGACTGTCACCTATCAAGTGCTTCACTTTGAGCTTTTAACATCCTGATTGGAACATTACAAGAAGTAGAGAAGAGTGATTGACCCAACATTAAAGGAACAGTTTCAACAGAAATATTTTCAGGAACAGTTCAACATTTTCAGAAAAAATTTCAGGAGGAAGAGGAGACGTTATAGCTTTGCTCAGCACAAAGACTGGAAACACAGGCAGCCATCAAGCCTGGCTCTGTCCAAAGATTACATCATCCACCTACCAGCACCTTTAAAGTTCACAAACTAATGCGTTGTATCTCATTTGTTAGATTTTACTTCACCTTTGGACAGAGCCAGGTGTTTCCTCCTGTTTCGCGTTTTTGTGCTAAGCTATGCTAAGCTAATCAGAGAGAAAGCTGATCCTGAGATAGCTTTTTATTATATTTGATCCATAGTCCAAATATATTCAGTTTACTACAAAATAATACTGGAAAAACATTTCAATTCCTCAAACTGTAACCATCAAATGTTTGTCCTTTTTTTTTTTTTTTTTTTTTAAAAATGGCCATTAATTATTATTTTTCTTTCAATTATCAATTAATCAACTTACTGTTTCAGCTCTAATTCCATTTTATATATTAGGCCTACATATTCATTTAATAATATATATACACATCTTTACTCCTAACACCTGTGCTATACCCACAGCACCAAACCAATGACAGAGATACTTTGAGCACCCCCTCACACACACACACACACACAAACGCACGCACACACACACACACATACATATACACCCCCCCCATTATACATTTACACCCCCCCCCACACACCACACACACCACAACACATAATACATATACCACCCCCCCCCCTCACACACACACACACACACACCTCACTGGCTGTCGCAGATGAGGCAGCCAATCAGCAGGATCCCGCTGAATCAAGTCAGATAGAATCAGACAAAACACAGCTGGAGAGGAAAATGTGCACCTTCAAAATAAAATTAAAAAGCATTACTAACGCCTTCATTTTGCACTTTATTTGTATCTATCTTCGTTTCACATTAACCTTGAACAATAACATAGAGCTTTTAGAAAAATAGGGTTAGTTTGCCTGAAGCAAAGTGTGGAAACCATGATGAAGCTAAGCTTTTTGTCTTTGATTTCATAACTATTTGAGTTGTCTTCATGTAGGTGAATTTTTATTTCAAATCCATTGCTTGTGTCTGTGTGGAGAAAATTACAGGTGCTTATGTTCTTAAATCAATATTGTTAACACATTGAAACATTAGGTTGTTGAATACGATAATTTTTCATCCTTAGTAATTTTCATTCAAGCTGCAACAGGATCAAAATCCCGGAAAAGTGATTTGCCACTTTTTAAGAAAAAAATCTGACAAATCCCCCTAAAATGTTACAGTCTGCCAGATTCACTTATTTAATAAAAACATTAGTTAAAATATCAATACAGTATAGACAATAACTAGTAGTTTTAGTGTGTATTTTGTTAAGACATATTAATCAGCATGGTCAGATCCATCACCTAGATGTATCCACATCTTGGCCTCACAGTTGACCTTTGACTTTTGCATTCGCAAAAAGTAAAAAAAAAGAAAAGTCTTTGGGTCTCTGGGAAAGTCTAGTGGCAACCAGCCAAAGAAAGAAAGAAAGAAAGAAAAAAGAAAGAAAGAAAAAAGAAAAAAAAAAAAAAAGAAATCTTCTCCACAGAAACTTTTACTTTGAACGCCATTACCGGAAGTGTAATCGTTGTAATGCGGCTTATTTGACATTAAACTGTTACTCTGTGGTTCTGGAAGTGGAAGAAGTTGAGTCTCCTCAGTCATCCGCCGGCGCCGCCTCCTCTCCGCTCCGCTCCGCTCCGCTGCTGAGGACAGACTCACACAGCGGAAACTTCTGCAAGGGGACGCGGGAAGGTAGGTCACCAATCCCAGCCACACTCTCTGCTTTTTCATGCACAACTCTGGAGGAAAACGGTACTGACATGATGCTGACAAGAGGCGGTTTCTAAACTCTTCAAGGCTCATTCCTCCAGAAAATATTCCTGCAGAGACTTTGAGTGTCGCCCTTATTTAGTCTTTTAGACTTTATAGTTTTGTAATTGTTGTGCCATAGGGTCATGATTTGCACCTGTATGGACATAATGTTGTCTTATGGTATTTGTACAGTGTTTCTCTCAAAAATCTACCATTGGATTATCCTACTCTTCCCCTCAAGAGCTCTTACTTACGGCCGGGATCTCCTCATTGGCTGATGACAGGGCAGTCAGTGTGTGTGTGTGTGTATGTGTGGGGATGATGTGGCCGACAGCAGACATCAGGTACGTAAGTGAAGGGTGGCATTGTGTCTTTCACCGGCTGGGGGAGCAACTTTCAGTTTCTCCCTGATGTAAAAGAACTGCAGTAATACTATAACTGGTTTCAGAAGATATTGTACTATTATCACAACAAAACTGTCGACTATAATTTATAGTGCATGCAACCTCTCATAGGGATCACAGAGATACTTTAGATGATGTTAAAACTCACTTTTTAGACTGATAGATGTGCAGTAATCAGCAGTATGACATGTATGTGCATGTATGCCAATCTGTGGTCCCTGATTGAACAGCAGAAATGATAGATGAGTCATTTCATCTGCTGACTTTGCAGAAATCTGCAGGTGTATGTGATACATTCTTGATCTTTGTGCAGCATCATTCTGTTTCATTTCACTTTGGGTAAAAGTTTGTTTAATTCCATACAAATGCATCATTTCATTAGAGAGATACCAGACACCATTAACAAGAGTTAGCATATCCTCTAATACCAGACACTGTCTTTGTGTATGAGTTTAGTCATCCTCACTACACCTCACTGTGGAACTCATCGGGATCATTTTTATGTAACATAACATGAAGCTAAGGATTTCTGTGGCATTATCAACAAAGAATCTGTATTTAAACTGGTTCGACAGTGTCATGACCGCTCCCATTAATAAGGTTAGCTGGATGTATCTCTAATATTGCACACCTTTTCCCCAATCCACACACATTTGCAGCCTTCCTTTGCACTGCATCTTTGCTTTTTTGTGATCTAAGGTTGGTGAAAGAGACAGATAAATAAGTCAGTTAACAACAATTTTGATAATCATTCATCATTCAAGTAATTTTTTAAGTAATAAAGCTTATTCATAGTTCTAGCTTCTCAAACGTGAGTATTTGCTACTTTCCTTTGTCTTATGTGGTAGTAAAAGGGGTATTTTTAGTGTTTTGGGCTGTTGGCAGCTCTAATGCAGATATAAACTGCACAGAAATGAATATGATAAAAGACAGAAAGAGAAAACCTTCCACTACCATCTGTGCTCTGTTCCCAGTGCTGCTGGCTGACTCACTTCGTGTCGAGTCAGCTCTCTCTCTCTCACTAAATATTGTTTCAGACTTGAGAGGCACATTTTCAGAGTTAGGGGAGCACATCCGAGGTTCTCCGGCCTGTTTATGTTCCCACTTTTCATCTGCACACTGTTTATTTGGGGAAATTGAGAAAGGAATGCCTGCCTCTTTCTTTTCTCTGTCTTTGTACCAGACAGAAAGTTTAGTCTGAGATATATCCCCCAGTTCTTTGTATTAATTCTGTCACCTGTTTTGGGTTTTCACATGGCAATCTGTGTGAATCTTCACCTTTTTTTTCTAATAAGGGAAGAATTGCTGCTAAGGCAGAAACACTGCATCTGACTTGTGACATTTGTCTCATGGGCCATTTGATCCCACAGCCTCATGGTCTTATTAAGAAAGAGAAGCTGCACCGCTGCTTTAATGAAATAATAAACTGAACCTAAAGCTGATTCATGAGCTACTCCCTGATCAAAGTGCAGAGAGAGAGAGAGAGAGAGAGAGAGAGAGAGAGTGTGTGTGTGTGTGTGTGTGTGTGTGTGAGAGAGAGAGAGAGAGAGTGGGGGAGTACTAGACTTGAAGCTAAGCTGAGGGACATTTAGCATCTGTTTGCTCTGCACAGACTTTACTTTGAGCCGGTCATATGGCTTTGATTAGTGTGCTAGTTTTCGGATAGCTCCACTCTCCCTGGCAACAGTTAGAGACAAGGACAGCATAGTTAGCTCCAGTCTTTAAAGGAAAAAAAATCACTGTACATCCTTTTCGCCACATGAAAAGCACCAGTCAGTGCTCACTAGTAGATGACAAGATGAAAAAATGATGTGTCAAAACGCCTCTGCGTCCACTGGCTTGATTACATTGCAAATTTGGCCCACCCTTAAATTCCCACCTAATTATCCTGAGCGGTCCAATTTTTCTCTCTCTTGTTATAACAACGACCCCTTTCTTCTCCCCTCCTTCTTTTCTCTTTTGCAAATTGTGATTGCGTTGGAAATTGTGTGGCCTGTCTGCAGCTCGGACCACTTTCTGTCTTGGCCGTGATTGCAGCTATATGCTCGATAATCATAGTTCATCCAAGCAAAACACTGAGGAGAGAGAGTCAGTGTATGTGCTCACTTGGCCTGCTGACAAACATACGTTTTTTATTTCGCCCAAAGTGATACAGCCCAGAGGGAAAGTTTTGCACAACACACCATGGAAGATGTACGACACCATCACCTCTGCGTGACAGCTTACTCTTAATTTAGCTGCATTTCTATGCAGTTTATAATGGAGCAATAATTTACCAAGAAGGCAGTGCGTGCATGTTGTTGTGGGGATCTTTTGAACGCTGTCCACAAATCTTTTTAAGCAGCTTTACTTGAAAAGCATCGAGGGACAGCGTTGGGGGGTCCAGTCTCTCCCTCGTTCTCTTGTTTAAACAAACAAGGGGGGAGTTAGTGGTAATGAAAAGCACTTGATATCAAGCTGCAAGTTTAATAACCCCACAATAAATCGAGAGCGGGAGCAGAAGTAATGAAAATGGAGGGGAGTTTGGCTTGTGCAGGAAATGACTGGGAGAAAGCCTGAGGGAGGGGAAAAGAGAAAGACTTTCAGTTGTTCCACGTATGAGCTGCAACAGTACAAAGACCCCTCAGTGTTTTTTAAGCAAGTTCTCCTTCTTCTGTGCCTTCCCATTGCTGTTTGAAATGAAATGAGAGGCACATTAGGGCTTTTTTTTCAACTCATTCCTCCACACTAAGTTCAGGGTATTAACACTCAAGAATGGCTGTCCCAGCTGGCTCGAGCAGCTTACACTCTTACTGTCTCTCTTTCATTCCCCTTGGGCTTTGCGCTCGTTTTTTTTTTCCTCGTCTTTTCAGGAGGCAACTTGTTCCCCCTGCTCTCGTCACCAAAAAGTTTCCCATCTGCTTCCGATTACCTTTGGCTGCAGTTGGTTAGCCGCCAGCCATCTGGGCCAGTGTGGCGTCTCTGCTCGCTCCTCTCTCCCCAGACTGCTGTGAGGGGTGGGGATAGGGGGTGGGGGGGAGCCAGGGACATGAGTGAACTGGGTGGGCAGACTTTACTGGAGGATAGCAAGGGTTGGGTTTTAGCTGACACTGCAATCCAAAGCCAGGAAACTCAAGTCAAAGAGAAGGGCACCCATGAAAATGTGACTCCTGATCATGGCTCAGGTCTGTTTTTGTAATGGGTACAGTGGGTCTGAGGAAGTCATTTTCCGTTGTTACTATAAAGCAGACTTGCTCTATGTTGGTCTTTAAGTAAAAAAAAAAACAAAATCAAATGGAATAGTGCTCATTTAAAATTGAACTTGAGGTTTATTTATAGCACAAGACAGTCAAATAAGTAGTGTGGAAAATGAGCAGAAGCCCTCTTTCCAAGATTTAAACCTGTGATTGTGATGAATTTGACTGGCATTGTGCAGTACTATGCAGACGATACTCCACTGTTTTTACCGAAAAAGCTGGGTACCAACAATGTGTCCTGTATTATGTCTTGCCTTGCTGAAATTAAGGTTATAATGTTCAGTTTTTGTTGAAATTGTTTTCGAGAGGTGTTGATTTGAGGTTTTTAGTTTGTGGTGCTGTTGAAATGCATTTGGTTATACTGAGAGGTGTTTCTGTACATTATAACCTTCATGAAGGTAGAGTTTATTGCAGGACTGAATGTTAGACTGCATTAGTTTTAGTTAATAATATAAACTGGTCCCAGCACTTGCATATTATCATGAGCTCCGAGCTCCTGTCTTTTGATGCTCAGGTGACTAAAGTGGTGCAGTCCTGTTTCATTCAGCCGAGACATTTAACCAACATTCAATCATTCTCTTCATTTGAAGATCTAGAGAAAGTCTTCCATGTTTTGATCTCCTCCACATTGATTATTGGAACGCACTTTAGTCTGGACTACAGTTCATTCAAAAATGGCACTGGCAGGCTTTTAATACGTCTTAAGAGAAGTAACTTCAGTACACCAATCCTTTTGGAATTAATTATAAGAGTCTAATTGCTGCTTGAGGTCCTCTGGTTCTCTGAACTGATTGTATTCTGTTTTTATTCTTTTTTATTTAATTATCATTTTATCTCATTGACCTTTATGTGTCAAATCTCAGGGAATCTCATTGTATATGTATAATGTTTTTAAAAATTAAAATGAATCACAAATATTGATATGAGTATCTGCCTCAAAAACTCAGTCTGAGACAGACTATAATTATTACAGTGCTGTACCTTTTGTCTTAGATGTAAACAAATTTCATATGGACACTCATACCATCCGTCTGCTAGCCAGGACACCAGCCAATTAGTAAGCTGTACAGTCAGGCAGCCAGCCAGCAAGTCACTCAGCCATACAACCAACCACCACAGTCAGCCAGCGTAGCGGTGATGGCAACCTGCTGCTCCTCTCAAATTGGCTCATTTTACCCCCAGAGCCTCTGACATAATACTCACTTCAAGCCGTGTTTGGGCATTAAGTGCAGCTTTTTACAAGATCAATGGCTTCCTTTGTGTTTGAACTCTTTCCGGTGGGCAGGCAGCTTAAAGAGTGGGGCCTCAGGGGCCCCAGGTTGGGACCTGCTGTTGTCTCTGGTCATCAGAGTGAAAGACAGGGTGTTTGCCCTTCGCCAAAGCCAAGATTGATTAGCTGAGGGAACAATGCAGGACTGGGCGGTCTTTTACTGGATGCTGAATATGAACTGGGTAGATTTGTCTTGTTAGACTGGGAACTGCATGGGTCAATGGGATCTCATGCTCTCTCTCTGTCTGTGCATCTATGTCTCCCTTGTTCCTCCCTCCTCTTTGAGCCTAAATCCGTCTCTCCCCTCCCTTTCACTCCCTTTCCTGGCCTTCCTCTTGTAGTCACTAAACAGTTTCTCTTCTACAGAGCAGCAGAGAGGAGTCTAAACCTGCCATTGCTGCTGAGCGCCTTGGGAGATCTGTCCAGGCTTTTTCTACTTCTATGAGGACTTCTCCAGGATCCATCGCCACTCACTGACCGACACACTGTAGAGGCTGCTATGTCTATCTGAACTCTCAGCTCCTCCTGCAGCCATGGCCCAACAGAGCGCTGAGCTGTCCCACTGCTAGGCGACGGGGCATCCGAGAGGGCAGGAGACATGTTGGGACAGAGGCCTGGAAACCACTGCACTGAATTCAGTTACTATAGCAACTACTGTAGTAACCATGGAAACGCTACGGAGGACTGGTCTGGTCTGCACTGTCATCGTCATCATGGTTGCCATCGAGGTCGCAGGAGGTCACAGAGATGAGTTTGCTCAATCACAAGGTGAGAGGAGACAATTATAATTTATGTTTGTGTGTGAGTGTATGTGTGTGTGTGTGTGGTAGTGGTGGTGCTGGTGGGAGGGGTGGGGGTTGAGACTGTCTTTCCACTGCATGGCACTTCAAGGTAAAACAGTTTACTTGTATCGCTAATGAAGTACCGCTAACTTGCTGACAAACACTCTCCAATAACTTCTTCACAATGAAAACATCTCACCGGGTCACCAGTGGGACGCTTTTAATGTAGAGCAGCCACAGCAGGACAGATTCGGTTTGTATTAAGAGTAAGTTCACACAGCTCTGGTACTGCTGAAAGGGATCAATAAACAGTAAAATAAGAGTGGTAACTGAAAGTACAAACAGGAACTCAGGAGTTAAACAAACCTCCAAACCACAGTGATTCAGGTAGACGCGACAAAAATACAGAGACTCTACAAACAGAGATTTCTCTCCAGTCTCCAGCTCAGGAGACCAGCACAGTTGGACACAGCTTGCAGCTTGGCTCGGTGTGGCTTTCCCCTGTTGTGAGGCTGTAGTGGAAACGCTGACCAACCCAGGCCAGTGGAAACCCCCCCCCTAACTACTGCCTCTAAACCAGAACATCAACTCTGGTAGGGAGTTGAGATCTATCAGACTGACAGACTTGGACCAAGAAACCTTGTGTTTTACTGTGTTTTACATGAGATAATAATCCTGTGTACAACCTGTATTTTACTCATTGTGGATGGGACAGTATGGATTTGTGATATAGTAAACAAAGCGAGAGACACGTCTCTTTATGTTTTTGACTAATCAACCAAACGACATACAAATACAAATCAACATACTTCATCATAGTGATGCAAAATCATGTAAAAATATAGTTATAGCCATATAGAAATCACTGTTGATTGATTGATTGTTTGATTTTCAACATTGCCCGCAATGGCCTTATGCACTTAGAGATATTGACGGGATGGGTACCATGGTATAAATGGTATTGCAAAATCTCATAAAAATAGATGAATTTATTTATATTATCAGACAGTTAATATTGTCATATGGCTGAACCCTAGACCCATTCATATCCTTTTTTTTTTTACATTACTGTCAGTACCTCAACATTTTTCTACACCTAACTGAGAGACATGAACATGTTTTTCTACAAACCCTTTTTTTTCATTTAACAAAAGAAACCAAAGTGTTAGATGGTTTCTTAACACAAGCAGCTGTTCAGGATTTTATAAAATACACCAAAACAGGGAAAATACTGATTTCAGTCAGGAACTATTTGATTAAAGAACAGGTGAAACAAGGTTACTGTTTGGATTAGACTTTAAGTGTCAGACAGTTTTTGAAACTATTGAGGTGTGATTCCCAGCCCTACCTGTAACAACTTTACTGTTATACCTATTACTACACAGAGCTGTCAACACTTATCTAACGCTGTCCCTGTTGTGTTTAGCCTTAAGACTAAGCAGAGCAGCTGGGTCATATTGTAGGATTTCTGTTTGGTTACCTTAAGCAAAATGCAACAACTTAGACTCAATCATGTTCAAGTATCCCTACAGCTGCGAAAAGCTGCATTTATGGCAAAGAGGGATAGGCATAAACAAAGGCATATCTACTATAAAGTTTCCATAACAATTCTATCGTTACAGTGTAATAATTTTACAATTATTATAGAAACGTGTGTTCACCCTTTCCCACTAAAAAAACGCAGTGTCAGACTGGTGTCCCACCTTAGTCTAAAGCCAGGGTGAATAACACAGGTTGAACTTTTCAAACCAATTCAAGTTTAATCTCTCATCACTCTGTGATGTGTGAAAAGAGTTTTAGAGACCTTTGAATTAGACACACTATTAACCTTATTCTTTGAGGTCTCTATAAATAGTGGGGAAACATCAGTGGTTTATTGTCTGTGATCCTGACTTTATAATGTGGGTTGCTTTCATTATTTTCAGTCTTTTTGAGCAACAGTACTTTAATGATTTTTATGGTCAAGGTTCCCAGGGTGAAATCTGTTAGAAAAAAACCTTCTTAATGCTACCCATGTTAAGAAATTCACAATAAATACAGTTTTTAATTTGTATTTAATGTGAATATGTGATTATAATTTAATTTTGTTTTAAAGATAATCATGTGTTACATAGTTACTGTAATTGTTTTTATTTGTAATTCACATACACAGTGCTCAGATGAAAAAAAATTTGGCGAAATGAGCCACAGAAAACGGTTCAGGGTCTGACCCGGCTGTCTGACCAGCTGAGGCACGCTCCAGGCCTGCAAGTCTGGGCTGCTGAACTTGAACTCTGCCTCCACAAATCATGTTGCTGTGGCACAGCCACGTGCCTGCCCCCCCCCTCCTCACCTCTCACCACACAGTCTCTCTGTCTCACTCAAATACACACTGAAGCTGAAGCAACTGAAATCTCCTGAAGGCAAAGACATAAATTCCCTGAGTGTCCGTGTCTCATCACCCAGAACAAGGCTATGATTGTGCATTTCCTAAACTTAACCTCTGACCCCTCACTGCCATCTGTCTCCAATAGTCTGCCACGCTGCTTCCTTTAAATAACCCACCGCTCAAACACTGACGTGGCTCAATTCGTCAAAGACCTAAGGACACTTCGTACAGACATTTTGGCCTTTAAAGCTGAACTAATTGATATTTTTATTTTAAAAATGGATTGAATGACTATGTCTAATGTAAAATGGGTTGCTTGAAATGATGAAACCACAGAAAATTATCACCCAACACTGCAGTTTTTTTAGGTCATTGTTTTGATTTTCTGGCCAGCAACTCTGCACACATCAATTTTAGTTCCAGCAGCAGCGTTGTTCCAGTGAAAAAGCTCTGAAAGCCCATTGTATGTTTCCTGCCAAGCACCAAACAACAGGCTGACACAGTCTAACTAGATGATGAACGTAGTGAAGCAGCTAAAGAGCCGGATATTTTCTTCAGGAGTTGGTGGAGACCAAAACAGAGCTTAAAGAGGAATGAGTATTGGATTGCATTCATCAGGTGCACAGAGACATCACTATGAATGAATGCTAATGTTGTGCCATGTCTGCTGGTTGCGTAAATATGCAACCTTTTGCTAACAAGTTCACCACAACCTCTCAATAAGGTGATCATACAGAAATCTGGTGTTGTCAGCTTGTTCTGTTGTCCCCAAGGAGGTATAAAAACCTATTAATGCAGCTTTAATAGGACGTCATGACACTGAATTAGATCTTCCTTGTTTCCACACAGCATTGAAAAGGTAGATGTGTGCCACTATCAAAAATCTGATTTAGTTTATTTATCGTCTATAACAACCACAACAGTTCTATGTTGCCATGTGCTACTCTAACTGAAGGTGCAGCGTTAAAGGCAGTAACAAAGAGGCCTCAAATGTAAAATGCAGAGTTCTGCAAATTTATATTTTTATTCTGTTTTAAAGATTAATGCAATATTCACAAAACAAGAAACATCTTAGCAATACATTTTTTTTATTTTCCCTCTACTCTGACCTCTGGACTTGACTCTTGTCCAGCCCTTGGCTTATATCTTAACACTGATGATAACCCCTTTGAGTCATTTTTGATTAAAACTCCTACAACAGCAAATGAAATAATGGTAAAATTGCTAGAAGCATAAAATCTCTCTCTGGTTCATTTTGTTAGTGTCTGTGTGTTTATTTAAAAAAGTGTCCTGCTTGTCTTGTTTTCACAGAACCCACCAATTCAGAGAGCAATCGTGGTCATTTTGGTACACAGAATCTATTATATACTGTACTATATACTATACTGTTTATACAGTAGTTTGTACAGTCATTATACAGCCACTTATCTCAGTTGTGATAAAAAAGAGAGGCACACAGAGTGAAAGAGTGATTTAGTCTGGGGGCTCGATGGGTGAATGGACTAAAAGGAGACTTTGACCGTCCCTGAATATGTTGGAAACTGTATTGAGACCCAGCTTTTGGTGGACTACTGTAGCTCCTGTGTCCTACATGGCCAAAAGTATACAGACACTGGAATTTTACCTCCGTATCTGATTGTTGAATGTTTCATTGGAAACCATGGGCAAAGCTTTCAACAATATTTTGGACCATGGCTGCTGAGCTTTGCTCCCATTCAGCCACAAGAGCACAAGTGAGGTCCAATACTGATGTTGGGTGATAAGACCTGGCTCACAGTCACTGTTCCAGGGGGGAAGATTACTTGTTTATGGACCTGGCTTAGTGCATGTTTTTAAACAAGAAAGGGACCAATCCAAACTGTTGCAACAAAGTTGGAAGCACACTATTGTCTAAAATATCATTGTATGCTGTAGCACTAAGATTTCCATTATTTTGCGTGGCACAGTCCTCATAGCTGCTCATGTATTCGGGTAGTACCAGTAGAAACTTAAGTTAAGTCGGAGTCCAGCTTTCCTTTTTGTCACACAAAGTTTGTAGGACCAAAAACTTGTATCGTGTGTCACAGTCTCTGAAGGTGCAAGAATATAAGGGATTCATTTAAAGCGGTTATAATGGATATTTTAATAACAACAAAATCAGATGACTGTGAAAACAATGTGACAATGTGAAAGGGGGCGCGTGTTATAGTGAGTTTCAGCTCATTGTTTACATATCATAGCGTTGTTTTCGGCTGCTGTTTTTAGTGGAAAATCTCGAAGAATCCACTGTAAACAAACAGCAGACAATAACAGTTAGCAACTAGCTGGTGAACATAGTGGAGCATTTAGCATCTAAAGAGCCAGATATTTCCCTCAGGAGTTGGTAAAGACCAAAAACAGAGCTAAAAGAGAGTGAATATTGGACTTAAATTCTTCAGTTGGCCAGAAACATGACTCCTACTCTTATTGTAAATCAACAACTGTTTGCCGACAGGTTCTCCATATCAATCTAAAAGGTGATGATTTGACAGTGTTGTGTTGACAACTTGTTTCCACTGTCCCCAAGTTTCCAAAAAATCAGTTACCGCAGGTTTAAAACGTGAAACGTTAAAGTGTGGAACCAAAAACATGAAAAACAGCCGCAGAAAATTAGCTCTCAAAAGTATTTTGACAGCAGTGTCCACATACTTTTGAATGAAAGACATGAAAGACAGACAAAGTGAGAAAGACAAAATGAGATTGAATTAAGCTGCTGGTTGTGATATGCAATGTCATTTTAAAGCCTCCTTTCCTCTGAGGTAATACAAGAAGTGTTCTAGCTTTTAATGGGATTATTTCTTACTCTTGTTGTTTACACTGAATATTTGTAGATTCTTCCTCGTGTTGTAGTTGTTTCAAAAGAGGCAGAGCAGCAGCGTTTGGTCTGAGGTGCCATGACGGTGTGCCTGGGATGGAGGGAGGGACACTTTTCCATCCAGAATATTTCCTTCCACTATTTGCATTTGGTGATAACAGGACCAGGGTGATGCCCTGTTCATGGGTGGATATGTATATTTATCAGCACAGAGGCTTCTGTATCTCACTCTTTTAGCCAGGGAGTGTCTCGTGTTAAATTTAGCAAGCGTGTTTCCATTCTCAATCTCTGTTTGGCTGTATGCTTTGATGTCTACTCAACATTTTCAAATGCTGAATGAACACACTGTATTTTGCACTGTTGGTTACTGCAAGGTTGCCATTGGGTCAAGTTGCGATGTGTTGGAGGTAAAATATCAGATATGTACTGGGTAATACTCTCAGGATTGACAAGAAGACAGGGCAGGAATAATTGTGTGCAGAATATGATGCAAACCAAAACACATGTTGTCTTGTTTGTTTTCCATAAAGCTGGATTCCAACCAAGTGTATCAAGTGACAGGGTCACAGGGAATAATTTATTTACATGTACAGTAACAGGAATTATCCCAGACATAAATGGGAGAAACAGGCATCTTGATAGAAAGCAGTGGTGCAAACTCTTCAAACGCATTCCTCATTCGCCTTATTAAAAGTCATTAAACTAAATTGCTGCAGAAGGGTTGATATATGTTTATGCTAAAGAAATTAGATGAAATTTTATGTCAAAATAACAAGCAAGTGTATTATAACTGTACTTAACCATGCATGTAACCACCTTGTCTTCCAGTAAACTGTACACATGCAAATGTGATTAACACACCAGTTTTTATATGATGGTTTCATTCTGTCAGCAACAGACACTGCTGCTTTGAACGCTGATGTTCTGACATCTGGTGTGTATCTGTTACAATGGGAGGCAACATAAACTATCAGAGAAACAGTAGCATGATAATGATTTTATCAACTTCTACTAGTAAAGTCACTGTTTTGCTGTATTTTTAGATGTTTAAAAATCGATGTTGAGGACTACATGTGTCTTTTTTCCCATGTGGAGCAGACACATTTGCTGTGGGAGCGAGAGGAACTACTTGGAAATCCTGCAGAGGAGGTTTAAGTGGTTTTTGAAAAAGCACTTCCGCTCAAACCTTTAGTTCAAACTGCAGACTAATTTTTTTTTTTTTTTTGCTGGTTTTCATTAGTCCAGCAGTTTATTCTGTGTGAGGTCTGATTAATTTCTTCCATATCTACTTTATTACCCTCCCTTCATTTTCTCTCCAGGAGCTTTTCCTGTGCTTCAAAGGTAATGGTAATACCACCTGCCTGATTACTTGCTGCGGTTTGTGAGAGCAGGACGGATGTGTTGTGGGAAAAAGCTCAGAGCTCTTAGGAAGGTGATGCTTTGGAGGAAGTTTAAGGAATAGAGTCGATGGGATTTTGGTGCCAAATATAGCCAATATTTCAGTTAAACATTCTGTTGCTATTAGCAACTACTACTAGCACTTAAACTGCAACGCCAAGTGTCGCGGTCATCATTTTGTCAACTCTTGATATTGTCGTCTGTTATCAACTCTGTAACTGACCTCGTTGGACCATAACCTGTAGGTGCTACCTATATTAAAGTCATTAAGGGTTTCTGTTTCTGTGATTTTAGATGTTAGATATGTGTTTCTATGAACAGTTTAGGGTAAACCTACTAGCTAGCCGTCTGAGGCTAACATGTTGCTAATGTAACATTCTAGCTAGCACTGCTCTAGGGGTAAATTCACATTACAGTGGAAAAACTAGGGTTTTGCGCTGCACGTTCTGCATTGGTTGGCGCAGTATTTTCCACTGCACTAAACAGCGTAACCCAAGCTACAATGCTAATATCGTGAGCAGTAGATTGCTGCGTTTCATACTTAAAAAGTGCTGTTGTAACAAACCTGGTAGCCGCATCTTATTCAGATTTTGAGGATGCGGATATTTAGTCAAATTTAAGTCTTGGTCTTGTCATTCATCTTTCAGTCCTAGCAGTGGTCAACAGCGATTGGATGCGGCCGCAAAGTTCAATTAATTTGAAGCTTGGCATCTTAGGTTAATACCTCCAAAGTGAGTCGATATGTGAGAGTGAATTTGTAAATTCACTTTTGTTGTGACCAAAGCCAGACAAAACGGGTAAAGTAAAAGAAAGGTTTAGTAAGTTGTTGATCAGAACAGGGTTAGGAGAGTGAAAAAACAACAGACAAATAGACAAAAACTAGGGTGCAGGTGGGTGTGCAGGCCTGGTAATGAGTAAGCTTGGGAAAACACTGCTGAACAGGAATAAAATGGCAGGCTCTGAAACGACAGGAGTGTTAGTGGCTGACAGACAAAAGAAGTGAAAAGTTGCTTTCCACATTCTGTATAACTGTAACAGTAAGTAACAGTACCTTTAGTCCAAATCTTGTTAAATGTATTGCATGTTTTTCCAGTTTGTAACCACTATCATTGAATTGGCTGTGTTTGTCCAATACTGTTCTCACAGTTTGGAAAAACTGTGTTGCTTCCAGTAAAAACTACACAGGCCATCCTGCCTTCTTGAACCTTTACTGGAAGTTTAGCTCGCTTCATAGCTGTGTACCTATATAGTGAGGGAAGAAACTCAGGGACTCATTTACCATTTTTGAAAGGGGAACAAGGCATCATCCATTTTTGTTCTCATGACTGAAACCACTTGAACACAGGGCATATTTTGTACTAAACTTCCCATGTCCAAAATACAGTACAGCCTCACGAGTTCCATGTGAAGACAGCATTTGTAATTGTGCTTGCTGTTTATTCATGCCAGACCTATCCGCTGCCTACAGAGTGGTTTTTCCCGGTACAGAGCTCTCCAAGTCTGCACCAAGGAACTCTGATCTCTGGGTATTTACTCTGTGTGGGAATGGGCTGTTTCTCCACCAAGTGAGGCCAAAGGTTTGATAAAAAAAAAAAAAAAAAAAAAAACTGGGCTCATTTGCCGGTGACCTTTCCCCGTTAGTTAGCTGTTTGGAGCTATGTGTGTTTGGACAATAAATCTCCACCAGGCCCCGGCACAGACTGGGACAGACAGGAAGTATACAGTTTCAGGGTAACTATGGCAACATCCCTTTGGCCTCATGAAGGAGAGGGTACTTGGAGTGGAGGGGCCTTGTCAGCAATGGGCCAAAAAGTCAGCAAGTCTCTCTTTGCCAACTGGGTTACTCTCTCAATAAAAAGCCCTGTAGCTTTGTTCAAAATAAGTAACTCACAAATCCTCGTCTGTTTTTAATTAGAGTCAATTAGATTAAGCTGAATTTGGCTTTTTAAGTTAAACTGTGGTTGTGGTTTTATGCTTTCTTTATTTCTCTTTCTCTCTAGCTGCCTTCCTGTCCAGTCTAGGCCAGTATGAGATTGCCATCCCAGTACGTGTAGGACCTAATGGCGAGACGCTGGATGCCGAAATGCCTGAACACCACAGAAGAAGACGACGCAGCACTGAAGACAGGCTGCCTGACTCTGTATTATGCTTTTTAAAATTGCTCACCGTACTTTTCATTCTTCTTTTCTTTTTGTTTGTCTCATATTTATACACAACTTTAGATTACTCTTTAAACTACTTAACATTCCGACTCAAGAGCATTCATAAACTAAACTCTCATTTTTGCCTTCAAGCTCTTCTACCAGCTGTCCACGTCACGTAACAACTTCCTGCTGAACCTGACACTGCAGGGAGGCCTGCTGTCCCGACAGTTCAGGGTGGAGTACTGGAAGAGGGGTCGATTAGCATGGAGTCACCCTTACTCTCCCCACTGCCACTACATAGGACACCTCCAAGACCAGCCACACTCCAGCAAAGTGGCCCTGAGCAACTGTAACGGCCTGGTAAGACTGAACCCTCCCAGTCTAATCCACAGCTAATACAGTGAGTGAGGTCAGCAGCAGCACTGGCTCAGCAAATAAGGGATCAGATACGCTTGATTCCAACATCAAAGCATGAAGTTTTAACAAACCTTGAGTCTAAAAGCCGTAATCTTTGGCCAAACCAACTAGTGTGATCTGCTAAGTGAAATGATCTAGAATGAAACTTCAGGTACATCTGAACCTAATCTCAAAGGAAGGATTCACCCTTCGTCTCTTTTCTTAGATTTTTTAAAAGGTCAAGTTGTATCAGCTTTTAATGGGCATTATACTGTATCTTTTGAGGACGAGAAAGGGATGTTCATTTTATCTACCAAGAGTAGCCTCAATAGACCAGAATACAATTCAGCTACAGAAATGCAAAACAAGAAACAGAAACAAGAAATGCTTGTTCAGATGGTTGAACAACATGTACAACACCCTTCTTCCATACCTTTCTGTAACTTTTCCAAAACTCACAATCCAACATTATTGCCCACTCCATGCAATGATTGGTCAGGTGTGTGGAGGCAAGATAGGTAGAGGTGTTTTTCTGTCATCGTTCAAACTACTTCTTTTCTCACATAACCCAGCCCTGAGGCTGCTGTCATAGAGAGGGTTAAGAAGAGAGAGGAGAAGAGAAGAGAAGAGAGTAGTTCTAACGTTGTGTGAAGTTGGCATACTTGTTGGGGTGCCTGTTTTGGAAAGTTGTGGGATGCAAACCTTTCAATTCTGATGTCGGAAAGGTGTGGGGGGAAGGAGATTCAGACACTGTTAAAAGGTCCAACAAGCACTTCCTTTGAAGCATACTGAGGCCTTTAACATTTGCCTTTAACAAACAATGTATCAGGTTCTGGCATGTTTTCTTGAGGGTGTTCAAAGGCAGTCTGGGAAATGTAGGAGATGTTAACTGAGGCTGTAGTCGGCAATCAGGTTACAGGAGGCAGGCTTTGAGCAAAGATGTCGGGCTTTAAACTTCTGGAAATTTCAGCAGCATTTCAAAGTGGACTTGTTTAGCTTTTAGTGCAGCATCAACTCCCTCTCATTTACTTCCCATTCTCGTGGGGTCATCTCAGCACACCAGAGTAAAAGACTGGCATCTGTTTGTTGACACTTTAAAGTTAGTTTACTGTCTGACTCACTTGACTGGATATTCTGAACTGCGATGCATCATTTTGTTGATGCATAATTTTCCTGCACAGCACGGTGTAACTGTGTATCCTCTCACTCCAAACAGTCGGCCCCACAATAACAGTTGTATACACAGCTGAGGATTAGATGTGTTCACAAAGCGTTAATAAGCAGCACACGTAATTACTGTTGGTCAAACCAGCATGAGCACATTCACCAGTGAGCAGGCTGTGTGTCCAGAGGAGCATCACTAACTTTATTAAGGGATTAAAGGCACTTTGAAAGCTGCCGCAGTGAGTCGAAGGGAGACACTCGCTCTGACTGAGGCCAACACATTTGAGCAGAATCAAAGGAAGTGTTAGTGTGTCTCTGTCTCACTCTCTCATTTTTCTCGCTCTCATTCACTCTTTCATGCTCTCACGTGTGTTTGTCTGTATGTGTGTGTGTCTGTGTGTGTGTGTGTGTGTGTGTGTGTGTTCTGTGGGGTCCTGATCCTTTTCTCAGATGGGTCCACTATGGGGTCCTGATCCTTTTCTCAGATGGGTCCACAGTTCATCATCAGAGGACTCTATAAGAGGGACAGTCTTTGTAGTGAGACAGTGGGAACACAGAGCAATATGATGATCATGTTAGCCTTGTATCTTTAATATGAAAGGATCTCTAGATAAAGAATGAGTGTCATCTTTTCAACAGTTGGATAGTCTGAGATGACCATAGATCTTAAAGAGTTGACTTTATTATTGTTCACTAAGGACTTTGTAGATGCCAACATTGTTATAACTGTCAGCAAATTATAGCTAGAGCTTAAGTTTATTTTCATTATCAATTACCTGCTGATTAGATTATTATCACAGTTATTAGTTGTCATTAGTTACTACGTGTTCTCTTATTTTTCTTTAATAACCATACAGCATAACATGGTCAAGATCTGCTGCACTGAAAGCTCAGAAATTATTTTGAGGTCTCCTCCTGTGCAGCTTTTAGTTTTCTGAGCCATTGGCACGAGGATCCCTCAGAGGACTTCTGATTCATCTCTGTTTTACCTTAACTTGACCTGCTGATTTGTTTCTCATTTTTCTTTGTCAATATTAAGAGTAAAGGTGATTGGAAACAGGTTTTGTTCCTTTTATTGGTGGATTCATTTGTATTAATTGCTGTATTAACTTTGAACTTGTTTTATAATTGACATTAGGCAGTAAATGTCACTGGGATAATAAGTTAGGATTTAAACTGTCTTTGTACTGTAAAGTTTGTGATATTTGTATCATGATGGCAATTGTCCCTGTTATTCTATTCTATTCTATTCTATTCTACGAATCTGTCTTTCTGCAGCAGGGGGTGATTGTTGCAGGGGGAGAGGAGTACCTGATTGAACCCCTTGTCTCACCAGATAACCAGACCAGGACAGAAAGGGGGGAGAGAGCAGAGGGGCGCCCCCATGTGGTTTACAAGCGGTCATCACTTCGCCATCAGTACAAGGGCTTATCCTGTGGAGTCATTGGTGAGAGGGGAGATATACAGTACTGGTCTTTTTAGGAGCAGCAGTAATGTCCAGACTGGAGTAGTAAATACTCCACAGGCCTATTTGCATAAGAGCCAGCAGCAGAAGATTGTTGTGTGGTTGTGTCTGAGTTCCCAGTTGTGATTGGGTGTGACCAAGTCTGCGTTACAGGGCGTTGCTGAAAAAGCAAAAGTATGTTCAGAAAACTATGTTTTGACAAATAAAAGTTAAAAGAAAAAAATCCAACCTTGTGATGTTGGCCTGTGTTCTAGTTGTTCAGTAAAGTGTTTCAGATGATCATTAATCTGATGCAGTGAATGATTCGGCTGGAATGCTGCTGAGCTATTGTCAGGTCCTTCTTTCTACATGTGTTTAAAGCCTGAGTGTTTGTGATCTCTCTCAGATGAAAAGCCGATGAAGGGTGCGTCATGGTGGCAGCGGACACTGAAGACGCCTCCCCATCATGTTGGCCGTGGCCAGCTACCTCTGAAGCGCTCAGTTAGCCGGGAGCGTTACGTAGAGACGCTGGTAGTGGCCGACAAGATGATGGTGGGTTACCATGGTCGCAGGGACATCGAGCAGTACATCCTGGCTGTCATGAATATTGTAAGTTTCACAACACAAAAGATGTATATGCACAGTGCATTGAAAAGTCACTTTCCCAGCATCATTGGAGTCATCTTGATGACTTCTCGTCATTCTTGATGAATGACAGGGTGAAATCTCTCATGCATGGCAGAATTATTAAAAGCTTTGTGCCAAGTTTCACACTAAAAGATAATGGGATTGAGAGGATGTGGTTAGGATGATGATTTGTTTTTGTAGCTTTTCTAAGTTTTCAGCAGCAGTCCATCAGCCAGTCATAGTTTGGTGACTTGGCATTGTACAAGACAAAGGAACAGCTTGGAGGCAACTAAGAAACGTTTTAAAAGAGAAATTAAAGACTCAGTTGGAAAGAACAGAAATGTCTGCAGTAACAGAAATATGTTTTGCTGTGTTTCTGCTGCCAAGGATCAATCACATATAAACTTGTTATGGCATTTAAGTGTCAAAAACTGATTAAAATAAGTCAGATTTAGGCTTATTTGCATGAATACTGCTTAGAGACAGAAAAAAAACAAATGTGTAGATTGTTGTGTTGATTTCTCCTTGTGTATGCCACATGTTTTAGTTAGACAAGCTTAGGTTGTATGTCATCATCTGCACTATTTCTGTCACTGGGGATCACTTCACACACAGGTAATCACTCACAAACCTACACACACATGTTAGGAATGTATCTAATGAAGGGTTGGTCAGCTGCTATTGTCACAAACCAGGTTGCATCTGGAGTGTTACAAACTCATAGAAACCAACAGCGTCTCTTTAGTGGTGTGGAGCAAAGTGGGCCAAATTACACCAGTAATGACAAGTGTCACAGAGCACCTTTAGTGCTCGCAGTGTGTTTAGCTCTGGTCTTTTTACTGTTTACTGTTGGTTCTCTTTAATAATCTCTGGCACTTGTGATGTTGTGATGCACTGACTTTACAGCTCCTGTGAGACTCTCATACTAGTCTATGTTCTAGAGTGTTAGTGGTTATAACTTAAAATCAATCTCACTTGTGCAGCAGAAGACACAGATGTCCCGTTAATCCACATCGATTTGCTTTTTTAACAGGAAAATCATAGCTGAATCAGGTTGTTATTATTTCTCGAATAGTGGTAGTTTTTCATCCATTTTCAAGACTGGGCTTTGTGACTTGACTCTGCTCTAGTGTAATGTGCTCTTCTGGTGTATCAGCTGTTTTTAAGACTGGTCTATTCTTGTTTCCCTGGAGGTCAGGTTGCCAAACTGTTCCAGGATTCTAGCCTGGGGAATGCAGTCAACATTGTGGTGACACGGCTCATCCTGCTCATGGAAGACCAAGTAAATGCTCTTCTCCTCTCCTCTCTGTATGTCTCTCTGTGTCCTTGTCCATTACTTTTCTGTCCTGACTATACAAAACCCTTCCCCAGGCAGCATCTATGCACTCCTTGTTTGTGTGAAGTTATTGGCTTAAGTATCTTTTCCTGCACCACTCCCGGTGGACTGAGTGTGTAAATGCGTCCTGTGAATGGTGGCTGTAATGAAAGGGACAAGAGGATGTAGGGAGGTGTGGAAGTGGGTGATGGGTGAGGAAAGAAAAAGTCAGGGAATGAGGGGAGTTTTGTACCTGTCAGACAGGACTGCTTTGTGACAGTCAGGCTTGCTACTGTGGTGAACAGTGACCTCTCAGACCATTGACGTAATTCCAGTAATCTCAAAGTTAGATTTAGATGCTGATGGAAAACACATCAGTGTCTAAATCTGCTCTACCAGAGGGGATGCACAAAACCAAACGTTTTGCGTTTAAAGCACAAGAGAACACCATCAGGCTCTATATTCACTAGACTCTTCAAGGTCTGGCCCGTCATTTTACCAATAATTTCAAGCCACACTCAATCAGTCGGTCCACCACTTTTGTCCAGAATGAAATTCGACATAAAGATTTGAACATTCATGGCCCTCAACGTATGAATCCCCCTGACTTTCTTAATCCTCAGACTTTTCTTCTAGTGCCACCATGAGGTTGACATTTTTGTTTTATTGTGAAATATCACAACAACTGGTGGATGGATTTCATACAGACATTCATAGTGTTAAGAAAATTAATCCTAATGAGTTTGGTGATCACCTGATTTAACCTCTAGTGCCACCAGCAGGTCAGAGTTTTAACTTATCCAGTGAAATATGTCAAAATCTACTGCATGAATTGGCACAAAATTTAGTGTTTGGTGGCTCCTACAGACTTTGGTGTTGGTGATCCCCTGACTTCTTTTTGTTGAACAACTGTGAGGTTGATTTCTCTGGTTTTGAGTGAAATGCCTCAAGAACTATTCGATGGATGACTATAAGATTTGGTAAAAACATTCATGTTCCCCTCAGGATAAATATTAACAACTGTGATCTATGACCCATTTGGTTACATTTTTTATTTATCCAATACTTAAGTTTGTGACTTAATGATACCTGCAAAGCTAATGACATGTCCATTAGCCTCAGCTGTACTTTGTGTTTGGTGCTAATTAGCAAGTGTTAGATAGAAGATGAACTTGAAATACATACTACACATCAGCATGTTAGCTTTGTCATTGTGAGTATGTTCGCATGCTAATGTTAGCATTTAGCTCAATGCACCGCTGTGTCTAAGTACAGCCTTACAGAGCAGCTAGCATGGCTGTGGACTCTTAGGCCTTTTGTTCCTATGTTTATATGATATGAGTGAGTGAAAGGAGGTTAGAAAGGTCATAGAGTGAAAATCCACACCTGACCAGCTCATAGTTCAGCTCATAAAAAGTGCATGACCTTACCAGCATAGCTGAGCCTTCAGACTACCTAGTAAATGACCTTATTAGCCTGCCATTAACAGCATGTGGCGAGACAGTGTGGCCAGCTCTATCGTAATGTTGACCTTCTAGCGATCTGACAGATGAATCAAATTGAATAAAAGGGGCATTAAAGTGTGGCTTTGAGGTTTCCTCTATAGATGTCTTATTAGGGAACATTTATGATTCATACTGTTCATACTGCCCCAAAATTAGCTCCATAATTTACCGCTCGGATGTGTTCGTCATCTGAGAGATTAAAGAAGTAAATGTTAGGATCATTAGCGGTGTGCAGTATTAGTGTTGTTATTCTTACTCCATGGACCATTGAGGTTGAGGTCGGGGACAGGACTGAGAGTAGTCTGAGTCGAGTGGTTCTGTTGCTGGTTTCCAGGTCTGAAAACGGCAAGCTGCCCCTGGAAAGGAAAACCAGGCCAGCAGTGGGCCCAGAAATGAGGGACTGTGGGATGAGGCAATTACTAGTTATGTCACCACATGCATTCCTGGGTTACGAGTTCTCGCCAGCTGTGGCCAGCAGTGCACTCCTCCTTCTCCTCTCTGCACTCTCATAATACTAGAAAGCACCTTCACTCTAATCCTACATCCACATTAGCTTCTTTGATACAGTGGAGGGAAGTTTTTTAATCTTTTCAAGGCTGGAATCCCAATTTTCCGAGTGTGGTCTCACCATGTATGGCATACAATCTAATGAAATCACTGTCCACTTAAATCCATATACTGTATCTCCAAATTTGGTGATTTTTATTTTTTGAGATAAACTAGAGAATTAAGTGTTATTTTATGTAATGAGAAAAATGTATGAGCAATGAGAAAATTCTCTTACTTCTTATAAACCATTTAAAAACCCATTGGATTATCTGGAAAATGTAGTGTCACAAAGCTGAAAACACAGCTTTTTTTGCTTTGGAGATGCATCGTTTTCACAGGACAGAAAGACTAACATACTGGGGCAGAAAACAAGCCTGAAACGCTGCAATACAGGAAGAGTGTAGCTGGGTTATCATAGCATTGTTGGCCTATCATCTGATTGTTGAAATCTCCTCTTTGTTGACATTGGAGTAACCAAACATTATTAAAGTATCTTTGCAAAAGCATGAAATTGCTGTCGTTGTAATCCCCATTCTATAGAGTGTTGAAATATAAATATGTAACTTTATTTGCCTAATTTGCTCTTCCTTTCTTGGCTCTCTTCCAGCCAACACTAGAGATCAACCATCATGCAGGGAAGTCTTTAGACAGCTTCTGTAAGTGGCAGAAAACCATCCAACACCGGAGCAGCTATGGGAACGCCATACCAGACAATGGGATCGCTCACCACGACACTGCTGTGCTTATCACCAGGTCAGGCCACCAAACTGAAACACCAATCTCACATGAACAAAAAGTATTTTTAAAATATTTTTCTTTTTTATATGAAAAAATATAATAAAAATATATAATAATAATATAAAAATATGATATTTTTCTAGCCTGACTTAGTGTTTTTAACTCCGTCCACAACAGGGATTCTGATTTTGAAATACGTGTATTTTGTCTACAGGCAAGCATACAATTCAACAGAGAATTAAGTTTCCAGTGATACAATAATTGAACTCAAATAACTTTCTCAGACCTTTATGTCCATTTTCTCTGTAACATTACCAAATTACATAATTCCTTCCTCGAAACTTTCCAGGAAATTATTAGGAAATTGCAGACTTGCTACCATTTATATCACATTGGCAAACATTCCAAAGTGTGGCTGCACCACATAGCTCTGTAAAAGGTTTATTTATACAACTCAACCTCCTGCTGCAACTTCTCCAGGTCATTTTTGCAAATAAGAATATGTTTAGTCTGTTTTCCTGTTCATTCAAGGGTTATAACAGTGTTATCTCCGTGCTGATTTCTTACATTCTCAGCCCCTCTCCTCATAGGTTTTCATTAAGTTAAGTCCAAGAGAGTTGGCCTGTGTCTTGTTCTGTCTGGGGTGACGATAGCTGAGGTTGCTCTGCCCAGCTCGGCATCTGGAGAAAAAAGAGAGATCTGAGGAGGGAGCGAGAAACCATGACAGATTTATTTTTTGAAAAAAAAAAAAACGGTTTAAAGAAAATCGAGTGACACCCTGAGAGCAGGAGAAAGGGAGCAGAAATCAAGGCAAAGCTGTTTTGAATGTGACAGCGCTGCTTTCTCTCAGTTGTCTCTTCATTTCTCTAACTCCACTCTGTTACTGATATTGTTGCAGGAAAACAGACAAAACCTTGGTAGACGCATATTAAACACTGATGCTATTGACTGAGGAATGTGCATCAGCACACAGCCCAACCACGGTTTGGTCAGTCATCTGATGGGGCTTGTCAGAGCTGCCATAAATGCTTTCCTATCCAAACAGAATGTGCTACAAGCTCCTGTTGCAGGAGGTTAACTGAAATGTCATTACTGTTCTTTTAGTTATGGTTGTGGTGGTGGCTTTGTGAGAACATTTTGGTTTTACGATGGCACTTATCAAGCAGAGGATGGAAGCTGTCCAGACAGATGACACTACAGTGACCGTGCAAGACTTCCTGCTATTGTTCTTTTAAAACTATATCTATCTGCTATCACTGCTGTCCACTGTCTGTCCTCAAATGTCTCTGTGTATATTTTGAATGTACTGCATGTACATCTCCAGTATGTTTGTATGTGTCTGAAAGCATATGTAAGTGTGATTATAACATTCACACAATCTTTTAAATGATGCTGCTTTAAATGCCCTGGTTTATTTTCCTTCCCATCTGCAGGTACGACATCTGCATCCAAAAAAACAAGCCCTGTGAAACACTAGGTAACACACGCGCACACACACACACCTCTCTGTCTCAGGACTTCTGTTTGTCTCGTGTCATCAACATTTTTATTACCACAGCGTCAGTAAAGAGTTAAATTTGCTTGCATACCTAAGGAAACCCCCACTGACATAACACATTCCCTCGCCCCTAACCGTAAACTTGACAATCACAACTAAATGTCCAGCCCAGCCCAAAACACTGGATCAAAACACACACACTTTATTGTGCTTTAGTCTGATTATTTTCAGTCTCCCCATTTCCAGAAGTAAAGATTCAAAGATGTGGTCTGTAGTATAGTCGGGTTTTATTTTTATTTTGTGTGTGTGTGTGTGTGTGTGTGTGTGTGTGTGTGTGTGTGTGTGTGTGTGTGTGTGTGTGTGTGTGTGTGTAACAGGTCTGGCTCCTGTAGGAGGGATGTGTGAGCCAGAGAGAAGCTGCAGCATCAATGAGGACATTGGTCTGGGAACAGCCTTTACTATCGCCCATGAGATAGGACACACGTGAGTAACACACACATACATACACATGCAATAATATTGCCATTTTGTCCTTTTCATTTCCATCTCCAGGCTTTGCAAATGTCATACAAAAAAAGGGAGAAAAAATATAAAGAAAAAGTTTTCTCTCCCTTTTTTTGTTGACAGTATACTTGTCAATATGCCTCTTTTACCAGGCCGACTGCATGGTCAGTAGACCTGCATCATGCATGTCTTTGCTGTCTGAAAGGGTTATTAATCTTGTTAAACAGAATACAGTGGGGGTCACATGTTAGAAATCTTTAAGGACATGTTTAAACATCACAATGTTTCATGTAGAGATCATGCTTGTCATGCTGTAACACACTACGACTTGAGGGGAAGTTCATAACCCTGTGTGGAAAAACACAGAATCCCTACTAGATCTATGGTTGCTGTTTTTTAGTTGAGCCTGAAACACAAAATATCTCTGAAAGGATCCCTGAGGTGTCTCATGTATCTCCCTCTGCAGAGAGATTGTCTTCAGATTACATCTCCACATCTCCTAAGACAGTTTTTGTGTTCTTCAGCACCAGGTTGAGAATGTGTTAATAGTTGTGTATTTTCTTTCAGTAACACTATTTATTTTCCAGTGGAATTTGTAACATGTGGAGTTGGTACAGCACTTGGATATGCCTGATTTTTTTAATATCTGGATCCTCTGGGTGACTTGGAGACTGTGATTTACAAGACCAGCTGTTCTGGATCACTTAGTAACTAGTAATTGTATCTGCCTATAAGCCTTATTTCTGTCATGAATGCAGTAAATCAGCAGAGATTACTGATTTAATTTCTCTTTTTTCTGAGAAACCATTGAGTTGGTTTGTTTTGGGGAAGTATTCTTCTTGCTCAGAGTAATTGAGTATTACTCAGTTTCACTGTGTATGCACACAACACTGAGAAGTATTACAACAGATGGTAGATCCATTGAGGTCCTGCCTCCCTAATGATTAACACAGGTAGCTTTCGAGTACTCAGACCCCAAGGCTGTCTAGCCAACATGACTGGACATAGTGTGCTGATTTGTGTGTGTGTAATGAGTAGGCTTCCCCAGCCTCAACACAATCAACAGTTGTTTTTTAATTGCCATATAAATTGTTTTGACATCACAGTGCAGCATTAGATTAAATCCAGGCCTGTCTGTGGTGGAGGGTACCCACATGAAAAGACAAGACAGACCAAGACAGAAATGACTCAGCTGAAGGATAAACGCTTTCAGAACATTTATATTTCAGGCTCAAACACAGCTACTGTGAGCGTTATCACTGTTTGTCATGATTGCTCAGTGAAAAAAACACCAAATGGATCACTAACACTGTGAAACGTACAACTGTTTGTCTTCAAAAGATTCATCGGCAACCATTTTGATTCTTTGATTATTTTAATTTTGATTTATTATACTTGGTATTTTGATAGCAACTAAAAACCATAATGTTTCTGGTTCCAACATCTCAAGTGTGAGAATAGGATGCTTTTCTTTGTCATATATGACACTGAACTGATAATAAGATTGATGAAAATAATTATTAATTGCAGACCTAGTCAGGTTTGCTACTGTCATATTTTCTGTGAATTGCAAAATATCTTCAATTTTAATTTTTCATTTTGCAATTATAATAGATTGTTTGATCTATAAAATGTCAGATAAATATCAGTAAACATTTTCTCACAGTCCGTGGTGACATCATCAAATGTATTGTTTTGTCTGAACAACAGTCCAAAAATATTTCATTTACAGTGGAAAAAAAATTAAGAATTTAAGATTTGCCATTTTTACGAAAGTCAATTATCATAATGGTTGCTGATTAATTTTCTGATGATTGACAGACTAATTAACAAATCAACTAATTGTTGCAGCTTTAGACTTGACCTCATGTTGTGTAGCATTGTAGTCTTTTTGTTTGTAAAAGGTCAAAATAAATTTGAAAACATTGACAGGTTCTGCAGTGGTGGGACGTTGAGCCATCACAAGGTGTAAATCAGTCCCCGATTTTATGTCAAATAGAAAAGCAGCAGTTGAGTCCTAGTGGAGAGAAATGCAGTTTATTGAAGACCACTGTCCTAATAATGAAACATCTGGTCATATATTTTTGATAGATGAAGGTGAACACTTGTGACAGCTATGGACTGTGCACTTTCACATGTCTGTTCTTTAGAGCCCTCTTGGATATCCACAGTGATCTTTTTTTCCAATGTCCCCGTCCACACAGCCTCAAAGTGTTGTCACTGTATCATCATGGGCTTTAGGTTTGGCATGAACCATGATGGTATGGGGAACGCCTGTGGCCCCCGCAGCCAGGAGACCGCCAAGCTGATGGCTGACCACATTACCATGAAGACAAACCCGTTCATCTGGTCCGCCTGTAGCCGGGATTACATCACCAGCTTCCTGGAGTGAGTCAGCCTATCAGATATCTGCAACACCACAAATAATTTGGTAATTAGAGGTTTCAGATAAGAAAAATTCACTTGGATGTCGGTGTAAAATTTTTGATGGTCAGAGAAACATTCAAGTTACAGATGGGTCTTGACAGTTGGCAAATCCTCTTCAGTTTAATTATCTGCTGCCTGTTCAGCATTTCAATAAAACAGTTTCACTTTGGATATCCTCAAAACAAACAATTAAAACATTGCTACTTATTGTGTATTTTAATCTCCCTCCTTTTTCTCTAATGTTTGGTGCGCTTTAGCTCAGGTATGGGCTCCTGTCTGAACAACGTCCCCCCCAAGCAGGAGTTTGTGTACCCAACCACAGCCCCTGGTCAGGCCTACGATGCAGATGAACAGTGTCGCTTCCAGTACGGCGTCAGATCTCGACAGTGTAAATATGCGGTGAGTGCTCTGTCCACACTGTCCCACTTTTCATTCATGTTTCAGCTTACTTTTCCTCTCTTTCTCATCTTGACTTGGTCTCCACTGTCTCTCCCTGATACTTGGTAAAATGGATTAAATCCTTTGTCACAGTATTGGTAATTTTATCTTTCAGTATTTGTAGGATATTTTCTGTAAAATCAACCAAGAAACTAATTAGGCGAGATTGTCTATTTTTTTTTCACTAAAAAAGCAAAATAATGTCTTGTGGTACATAGCATCCTATCACCCAGCTTTACTCACCCCAAATATTTTGCCCTCACAAGCATCTCTCTCCTAATTTGCAGTTCTTGAGAGAGGTCATCGCAGTTTTAAGTCTTGTAATTATCACCTCCAACTCAAACAGCTAGAGTTCTCAAGTTCTTATGTGACTTTGAGATGGTATACTGCATTTTATTTTCAGAAGTGGTTGGTAGCAGGTAGCTTGTAATGGATTTGATTGGATTCTGCCTCTATAAACAATATAAATGTTGCACTCTTTTTGTGACGGATAATTATCACTCTGATTTATGTTCCTCTGGCTCTCCCCTCCAAGTCGGCGTCTCTGCGATGACGTGAAACATCTTGCAATACCATCGCTGAATAGCATCCACTTTATTGCATGGTCAACTTTTACGGGGCCAGGCTCAGAGCGAATGGACATCTGGAAGAGCACACTGCTTTATAGACTCATTATTATCGATACTATGTGGTCAGAGCATATGTACACAATAAAACGTAACCCATGTGTTATAGACATCGCTGTAGAGGGAGAAGAGGAGTCAGCAAATCCACCTTGTGTCTCTATAATGAGTATAGAAACACTCTTGACTGGTTGTCTCATTCTTTGCTTTGTTCTTTCCCTTCTCTCACTGTCTCTCCGTCGTCTTTATTTTCTTTTCCTTTCACTGACACACTCACAGGAAGTCTGCAGTGAACTTTGGTGCATGAGTAAGAGCAACCGTTGCATCACCAGCAGCATTCCTGCTGCAGAGGGAACCATCTGTCAGACCAACACGATAGAGAAAGGTGTAAGTAAACATGTAATAACTCCTTTTTTCTACATTATCCTTTTTTAAGGGTAGGGCATAAGGATGTTGCTGGTGTAGGTAGGATAGACATTAGGTTGAGAGTTGTATTTGTTCATCTGGGATCAGTCCTCCTGATTTTTGCGAGACTTAAAAAGCAGCACATGTCCTCATGCTGACTCATCTTCTCTGACATGTTTTCCAATGAAAATATTTATAAGAGGAACCATTTTAAAAGGAAAAAAATCATCCTGAAAGTTTTTTTTTTTCTTGGGACTGTGAAGTATCTTGTATCTTGGTTTGTTTTGTTTTCCCTTTGAGATTATGATTGATATCATGATATTTGCTTCCATTAGCCTGTTGGTTAGCTTTTTTACGATGCCTTTCCACTCTTGTGGCTACCAGAAAAATTAAAATTAAACTTTTTTTTTTGATGAGTCCTTCTTGTTATTGCTGTTGTGTATTTATGAGTATGATTTACTGCAGTGGTGCTACAAGAGGGTGTGTGTGGCATATGGGACTCGTCCGGAGGGCGTGGATGGAGGCTGGGGATTGTGGTCACCCTGGGAGGAGTGCAGCAGGACGTGTGGAGGTGGAGTCTCCTCTTCTGTCAGACACTGTGACAGCCCCAGGTAAAGGTCTCAGCTGTGACCAGTCTGAAATACATTATCAGTTTTGTGGCTGGTGAAACTCAGGGTGCTAAAGCTGACTTCAAACTTTAATAACTTCAAAATGACTGGAATCTGGAATGGGAATAGGTCCACAGACATTGGTTTCTGCAAAAATGCATTTCAAAATTCAGCTGGAGTTAATATGAGGCTTCAGTGGTCTGAAAATCGAGAACGATTGAATCCAGTGTTTAACTGTGTCCTGTTCCTGGCAGTTGTGTGTACGTTTATTACCAGTGTCTTGTCTCAGCAACAAATCTACATTTGAATTTCATGACGCTCCCCCTGCCACAGCTTAACAAGAAAATGCTCTCCATGGAAACACAAAGAGGGAATTTTAAACAAGAAAAAGCAACATAATTTGTAAGATACCTGTGTGATATAGCTAACCCAGACAGCGATAGCCTCATTAACTTCAGCTGAACTTTGAATGCATTTTTGCACAAAGAGAGGATCTGTGATTTTGTCTTACAGTGTTGTTGCTCAATGAAAGTATCACTTCTCTGCCAGTATGAAGAGGAGGAATACATACAACCTCCCATAACTCTTTGAATAAACCTTTGGCCACTTGAGTGTTGTATTAAGATAGACTTGAAAAAGTCTGAACTTAACAGTCATCACTGGGCTTTTCCGATCAGGATTTCAAACCCCTAATTTGATGTAGGCTTGAAAAGGACATTGTGGGAATAAAATCTTCTATTTTTGTTCTGTAAACTTGTAGAAAAACTGGCAAACTATTTAGACAGTAAATTGTAGTGAGGTATTGATGCAATATGCTGGATCATGATTTGTGCTGATACTGGCCTTGCTCAATGGATGAAATATGGAACAGAACATTAAATATTTAGTAACCAGTCTTATAAAACCCAATTTTAAACACATTCTAGATCTATATAATAATACATATTCAGATATCTAACATACCTTTTTAATCGTGTATGAAATAATTCAGAGTCTGAGTCATCAGAAAACAACAAGCAGACTTGCTTTTGAATCACAGTCACCAGATCCATCATCTTGAATTGATTAAGCTGAGAATGAATTGACCCAAATCTGAGGCCAGCGGTGTTGTCTCCTATTATTTCTGAGCATCATTTTGCACATTTGCTTTGGCTCCATCATGTTTAAATTTGTTGAAAGTTTAGCAGAAGCAGCCATTTGATGGTGGCTGGCTCTGACTTCCTTTTCAGCTCCTTTTTTGAAATACAGAGGTGTTGTCGTGATGGTCTGTGATAAACAATGAAGCAATAAAAGAGACAGACGGCGAGATTGAAAACACCCTGATGGAGGCAGACAAAGCAGAGATCAGGAGCCAGCGCTGTGTGGTGATGTGATGGAGGTTAGATCTTGTTAAATTGTACTCAGATGTGACTGACTGGCCTGGTTCTCTTTGTGTTTGGTTGTAGGCCAACCATTGGTGGAAAGTATTGTCTAGGGGAGAGAAAGCGCTTCAGGTCCTGCAATATTGATGTGAGTATCACTACTCTTCATCATCATCACACCATCACCATCAATCGGTCAACACACCATCATTTACTTGATTTCATTTGTTTTGTGTTTGGTCATTGCACAGGGTGGTGGTGAATGTACTGTGTATATATACAGTGTGTATTATATATATATATATGTGTGTGTGTGTGTGTGTGTGTGTGTGTGTGTGTGTGTGTGTGTGTGTGTGTGTGTGTGTTACAGGAGTGCCCTGCAGGCTCTCGGGATTTCAGGGAGATTCAGTGCTCTGACTTTGACAGCGTTCCTTTCCGGGGAAAATTTTACACCTGGAAGCCATACAGAGGGGGTGAGTGACTAAACCTACACTGTGTGGGTTGTGTGTGTGAATTTATTTGCTTCATGGTGTTCTGTAATGCAGATGGCCTCTTTGACCTTAACATCCCTGCCAACCAGTGTTTATTACAACTTGTTCTGATATTCATAATTTTTGGCCATCGGGTGTGTTGGTTCCATTGGTAATGACAACATTGGCCCTCACTAAAGTAATCGCTGAGATCTCTATGGGTCACCAAGCAGGTGGGGGCATCAGAAATCCAAAAGTGTGAGGTAGTCATTAACCATTCACTACACAGAAGAACTGTGTACATAACCAGAAATGCAACAAGTCTGTGGTTCAGGACTTTACAACTATGAGTTGTAAATGTACTGTTCACCTTCATTTTCTCGTTCCTATAAGTTTGTCCAACCTGGTAGTTTATTTACAACCTGTATGACAAGTTGTGATTCTTCAACTTCTTTGCAGTGCCATGGCACAGGTACTACTGATATTTTTTTTTTTTTTTAACGTCTAAGGGATAATTAAAGGGGATTTAAAAAACACAAAGCCCTATATCTATACCAGTTACTAACAGGCCATTACATGCGCTAAAAAAACTAAACCCCACTGAGCTTGGCAATCTTTCCATACAAAATATTATATCTGTTAGGTAGGTTAATACTGTAGAGTTACCTGCATAAACATATATAAACTAGTTAAAATTAGTCCCACATGGACCAGCTACAACGTTAAAACGCTGCCTACACTTGAATATATACTTGATATTCGATACTGTACATTTTGCTGAACTTAGCTCATAAAAACTCAAATTATAAAACAAAACAAAAAAAATATTAGAATTACTACTTATTATAATTTAACTTGGTTTTGCAATTCAACAACCTCACAACAAACCTCACACAGCAAGTCAAAGGAAAGTGTTTTTTCTCTAAAGACGAATTTAAGTCTTCAGTGACTGTGATAATAAATAAGTTGATGACATGAGACGAACAGAAGTCTGGAGACAGAGAGGAGGGTGTGTGTGTGTGTGTGCGCGTTTGTGTTTATGTGTGTGTTTATGTGTGGAGTGAGGAGAAAGTGAATCGAAGCTGCAGACACTCTCCCTCCTGTCTGGCTCGCAGATGCTGGCTGCAGAGAGCCATGCATCCCACAATGCCTTGCAAGAATTCCTTGCTCCTGATGAACACTACACTGGACGTGAAAGATAAATAGTTTCAACGACATAACTGCCTTTAATCTAGCCCTCCAATAACATAATGGCTTACAGAGATGGCCGGCCAGCCAATTCCAACTTCAGGCAACAAGTGCTCCTTTCATCAAGTCAGCTGATTTTACAATGGAAATCCCTTACAGCTGTTAAAATAGGAACAGTGCCATAAACTCTGCCCTGCGTTAAGGCCAGATCACACCGCCCAGCCCTTTCTCTGTCCTCTGCAGCCTCTCACTCTCCTCAAGTCCTCATTTCAGCTTTCCTCCTTTCACTTTTACCCTCTCACTCAGGGAAGAGCAGCTTCCTTACCAATTTCTTTGTCCTGTCTGCTCTGGATGCCTCCTCTGATTTTATTTAGTTCACCATTATCCAATCTCTCTCCTTCTAGTCTCTGTCCTGAGACACTGAGAACACATACAGCCTTCCCCTCTCAGCTCAGACAGCCAAGGACAGTTCATTAAAAAAAGGTCTGTCATTTTAAGCATCTTTTTTTTAAACAAGCTGCTCCACATAGCTGTTCTCAGTCCAGCAGGCTTCACATTCAACCTTCACACTCCATACAACACACCCTGCAAGTTATAACACACACACACACACACACACACACACAACTTGCTGCAAGCCATGATTGCCCTGCCAAAGCTAGGCACCATGGGAATTGTAGTTTTCCGTGGTCTGACCACTTTATCGTCTGCAAGCCCTGCCAGTGCATACTCTCTCACTTTGTCTTTCTTTCTCTCTTTCGCTCCTTCCCAGTACATACTGTACCTGCTTCAGCACTGCCAGCACAAACAAACACAGCCCAGACTGATGTCAACAGCCACTCAAATAGTGGAGCTGTTGGCGAGCTACACAGATGAATGAAGGATATATACTACTTGGCTAGAGAAAACATCTCTAGCAACTGTGTGTGTGTGTGTGTGTGTGTGTGTGTGTGTGTGTGTGTGTGTGTGTGTGTGTGTGTGTGTGTGTGTGTGTTGTGTCGTGGATGTGTGTGTGTGTGAAGGGAAAGAAACAGAGGGCAAATAAAGGATTAAAGGGTATACTCATGCACGTGCACATCTTTATACCACCTAGAATCAGTTGCCTGTATTATAAATGGCTGTACAGCTTATAAACCGTATTGTTGATTTTAATTGCTGCTGCTGTCAGAGAGGTGTTAACCACAGATGTGATCATTCACAAAACATTCCTGTGTGATGCCAGGGAATGGTTTAATGTCTCTCATGACCTGTCCTGTAATATCTCCAACACTCCTGATGTTGTCTTTCAGAATAAAGGTAGGAGCAAAGTGTTCATCCTAGAGAGGCTGAGTTGTCAATCTATGCATGGATGATGTCTTTTCAAGTAGCAGTCCCTTCTGGCAAATGTCACTGTGTTAGGATATGAGTGTAGATTAGTGATAACAATATTTGGCAGGCTTGGACACATTCATAAATTGACTGTGGGTTCCTATTGGCAGGTTTACCAAATAGCTAGACATTTTGTTCCAAATCTGCTCTGACAGGTAGCCTGGCTGTGTGGTGCATGCAGCATTTCCTTAATGCTAAATATTTGAGTCCTCTGGACAATGTTAATGTACTGTCTACACATGTAAGATTGTGTTTCATTATGCATTTCCTTTTCTCACAGTGTGTTTATCTCCTCACACCAGTGGAGATAATAAACTCTAAACACTTACACCCTTATGAACTGATAAGGAAATTATTTAACTAGAGCTTAAATGCTGAATCAATTCATTGATAGGAAATTAATGATTTTGATGTCACATTACATTCATGATGATGGCCATTTTTACTATTCTCTAACATTGTTTAAACAAAGCCATAAATTGATCAGTAGATTAATTGTTAATGAAAATAGTCTTTAGGTGCAGTATAATGACTAATGACTGAATAATATTTGTCAGTCATTGCATTGGTTCTCAGGCTTGAATTTATTACCTGTTAACATAATTTGCAGTTGAGAGAAAATCTGTGAAATAAGAAAAATCATTTATTTGCCACAGTATCATGGTAATTTGGACCTCTCTAAAATGTGTGCAGTTTTTGATTTAAATTTGTCATTTTTGCTAGTTTACTTTCAGTAAAAGTATTTCTACATCTTTCTGTGAGGTCAGTCTGCGACTCTAGCCACTGACTTGCTGTACTGTTTATGTATGTTTACTTGCATTTATTGAGGCAGAACAGTAGTTTTGTGTCTGTGGTTATATAGTCAAGGGGAAGCAGAGACCTAATCACATTCAGCTGCTTGTTCTCTGGTTTGTCAGCACTGAAAAACATTTCCTAGTCCCCTGCTGACTCCTCTTTCGTTTATTCTGCCTTGTCACTCTGCACCTTTCATTAGGCAAAACAAAGACTTGCAACCAGTTATACATGTTAATATGACATACCTTCTTTTTTTTAACTGCATACTTCATCAAATTGTGTCTGTGTGTCCAGGGGGTGTGAAGCCCTGCTCTCTTAACTGCCTGGCAGAAGGTTACAACTTCTACACAGAGCGTGCTCCAGCTGTTGTGGATGGCACACCTTGCCGAGATGACTCCCTGGACGTGTGTGTAAATGGAGAGTGCAAGGTGAGATAAGAAGATTTAAATGTGTCTGTATGACTGCGCTGACAAAAGCTGTGGCCGGAGGTATTGTTTTTTAAGGTTGTCCATTCGTCCATTCTTCCCGTTCTTGTGAATGCGATATCTCAGTAATGTCTTGAGGGAATTTCTTCAAATTTGGTGCAAACATTCACTTGGACTCAAGAATGAACTGATTTAAATTTTGGTGGTCAAGGTCACTGTGACTTCAAAAGACATGTTTTGACTATAACTCATTCAAATAATTCATACACTAATTATCACACAATTTAACACAAGTGACTAATATGATAAAATGAAGAAGTGATAACATTATATTCAAATGGTGAAAGGTCAGCTTCACTGTGACATCATAATGTTCGAGCCATTATTCAACGCTGTAACTCAGGAACAGAAGCAGAGATTCTGATCATATTTCCTCCAACTTGACTGGTTGGCGGAGACATACAACCACGAGGCGGTAATTCTCATTTGTCTCTACACAGCGAAGCAAACGTTTGGTTGAAGTGCAAGCTGTTATAGTGTACTGTATGTGCGCATGTGAGCAGACAGTTTCAGCTGAAGCAGCAGAATAAGGAATCAACACAAGACTGTCTTCAACTGAGATAGTATTGTTTATACTCGCTCTCTAGACTCTGGACAGCTGCCACTGTTCAGCTTACACACAGGCTGCTGACGATCATCACTATCAGCTGCTGAACTGAAGAATTATCGTAACTTTGGCAGCACTCTTAGATTCCCATTACTGATACTCTCTCTTTAATCCTGGCTGTTAATGAAAACAAAACTTAACTGCTGTTCATATTGATGAAGTGGAGACCACCTGGAGCTCCAACAGGTCCCTGGAACCTATGTTGACACCCACATGGCTCATTTGTCAAGGGATGTAGACAAAAAAAAAACCCTAATAGTAATAGCACACAATTTACTGGGTTGGTGTTGATTCCCAATCTGTTGTTTTTGGATATTCCTCTAGTCTAAAAAGTAAGTTGAAGTTTTGCACAGGGAGTAAAGGATGTAAGCAGAGACAAAAATGAGAGGCAACAACTTCAGGACAGCCAGCTTGTTGTTTTGTAGAGAGCCAAAAATGTTTATTTTTTTAGCCCCCCCACTTTATTTTAAGTGTCTTATAGACTGTGGAGCTGAGGGAGGATGGAGATCCTGGACTCATCCAAAAAGAAGATTTTGTTTATCAACATCCCCTCTGTTCTCTCCTCCTCCTTCACTGCTCTCTTTTTCCTGTACTCTGCTCTGTTCTGCTCTGTTCTGCTCTGTAGGAACTCAGTGACCCTCCAGCTCAGCTGTTAGTCTGTCTGCACTGCAGGCTGGCTCACTGCGGTCTTATTATCTGTCTCTCTTTTCCTCATTCCCCTTCTAACTCTACATCTCTCCATTCCACTAATTTTCTTACTCTGTTTCTCGATATTTTCTTTCTCTTTTCCTTCTTCTTTCTCTCAATTTTTGCTTTCCAGTCAGCACCTCTTTCTCCCTCTCCCTCTCCTCTGTCGTCTCACCTCTCATATATTTTATGCACACATAAAACTTCAAACACACTGGAGAAATCTCTATCTCTTGTTTGCAGCCTCATGCTGGCTTTGGTTCAGGAGTTGGCGTCTGACAATAAGAGAGAGGGGAGAAACAGGGAGACGGGGAGAAGTGGGGGAGGTAGGAAAGGGCCTACGAACAGATGGTCCAGTTGAACACAACATGCTGCTGCAGACGAAAGGCATGTCTGCTAGGGACGCTTTCCCCGGATCTGTTGGACAAAATATAGTGTGTACAAAACATTAGCAACAACTGTTCTTTCATGAAATTAACAGACCACGTAAATCCAGGTGAAGGCTACATTCTCACAGGGATTTCACCTGCTGATTTGTCTCAGTTGTAAAGTATAAGGCACGAATCAGAAATGCAACATAGACTTTGTTGGTAAAAAAAGCTTTTCTTGCTGTTGGTCTGTCATTTTCAAAAAGAGTTTCATGCAGACACAGTAAAATGTTGCATAAAATACCAGAAGCCCTTGAATTTCTTCAGCCATGTCATTGTAGCAATTATTTACCCAAATCCTTGCATTCTTATTGAGGCAATCGTAATAGTGATTCCTTTATACCTAATACAAACTTAGTTATTCCTGTTAGTTTTTAGGCAAAGTCATTTAAGACCAAGACAGATCCGTGTATCATCTGTTCATCCAATTATTTCTTTCAATCTGGAAAAATGAAGAAAAAAAAATTTTTTTGTTTTTTATGTGTATCAAAAATAGAATAGTCCATATAACAAATGTGATTTTTCCATTTTAGATGACCTCAAATACATAAAAATGAAATGGGGTTCCAACTAACGACTGTTATTATCGTTTATTTTCTCGATTAATCGTTTTGTCTGAAAATTGTCAGAAAAATGTCCGTTACAATCCCCCAGAGCGTGGAACAACATTCACATTGCTTGTTTTGTCCGTCAAATTCTTCCAAGATATTCAGTTTCCTATAATATATGACAAAGAAAAAGCATGAAATACTAACATTTGAAAGCTTGAGCCAGTGAGCGTGACATGGACATGACATGTATGCTTGGACAATGAAACAATTCAATTGACTAATTACAGATTGGGTGAAATACTGAATAAATGGATGATTAACGGACCAAGGTGAAGTTTGAAAGTCAGTTTTTGAAGCGACAATGTGCCATCTCACACTTAACTTTATATTCCAGCACCGTAGTATAATATGGATTATATATTGTCCTATTGGTTCAAATTAGCTCTAAGAAATACTGTCTGCTTGTAGAGACAACGGGCATCCTGCTAGTTGTGACCTTTCATCATTTTAGATTTCAATAACTCACCACTACCACATTACAAACCCACCAGATAACCACCGAGCGAATCACAGTTTCAACTATGGATTTAGTTTTGAACTGTGATCTAATCCATGTAAAAGTAATAATAAACTTAAGCATCATTATCCCTCTCTACAATAAGCAACTGTCATATGAATATATGGGAATGAGAGCAGTTGCCATTCATTTTCTGCACTTTTGTTTAGCTTTGGTTCACTGTTAAAGAGTTTGAGTAAAACCACCTGCTTTGCTCATCATGAAACTTATTTATGTCGACAGCTATGAGTTTAGCAACCTAAGAGCATTATGTCTGCACAGGATCAGAAAGCACATCTGGACTTACCATCTGATATTTCTGTGTTTTGGAAAAGTGGTCTGGAAGACATTAGAGGTAATCCCTCAGCCCGGCCTCTGACACCTCTCGACTTACTGACTGTGCCCCTTCACCCATGACCCTGAGTGACCCTGCAGCTCACTCATTTCTCCCTTCTCACAGCACGTAGGCTGTGATCGCATCCTCGGCTCAGACGTTCGTGAGGACCGTTGCCGGATCTGTGGGGGTGACGGGAGCAGCTGCATGTCTGTGGAGGGGCTCTTCAACGACTCGCTGCCCGAAGGAGGTACAGAAATACAACACTCAAGAAGCACTTCTTTCACTCTCCCAGTCATCTTATTGATTAACTCTTTGGAACTGCTGCCACAGACGTTTCTGCCCATGTAGGTGAAGATTTTGATGTGTCCTATCTTCATTAGCAGGGGTGAAACAAGGTTTGATTTTTGACTTCAGCATTGAAAGTATATTCTAAGAATCAGATTAGGTTAACGTTAGGCATTCATTATGAGAAGTTATGCAACATAATTGTTCTCTTGTGTCAAAAATGTGCACATGCAAGCTTTGGATTCTGATACTTTGGATTGTGAATGCATCTTGGAAAGCTGCCTCGCCAAGTGAGTTAGGATACCCCAGATATTCAAAATGTATCATGTAATTGTCTGCTCACATGCAAAGCAGCATACTGTCACAGATATTTTTTTGATAAAGCCAATAAAACTCCACATAGCTGCAGAACAGTCATTTATCTCAGCACCTGTTTTACACGTTTCTGGTGAATTCTTAGAGAAAAAAGCATGTGCATATGCAGCAGTTGAGGGGTGATGCAGACCAGATTTGAAATTGGTATTATTGATAGGAACAGTCGCTATTCTTGTCCACCGCCACGTCTACATCAAGCAGTTTTTAATTTCTATTAACAAAGTTAATAAATCCCTGGCTTCTCCTTGAATGCCCTGTTGGTAGGCCTTAGAAAATTATTAGTCTGTCAATATAGTCTTTGCATAGGGTTGTCAAGAAGATATACTTGTGTATCATCTGCATACAAATGAAATTATATGTTGTGGCTAATTATGTGACCAAAGGGAAGCATGTAAATACAGAAAAGAATGGGGCCCATAATCATCCCTAGAGGTAAACCTCAAAGAGGTTTCCTCTCAAAGACGCTTTTTGAGCTAAACCACTTATTGTATTTATTTGGGATCATTATAATTGGAATATTATAACGGGAATATTATTATAGTGGTTATAGTAAATTGATTGAATAAAATGGTATGATCGGTAGTGTCAAATGTACCTGTCAAGTAAAGCAGGATTAAGATGGAGCAAGGCCAGTATGGGCTACTACGTGGAAGTCACACATTTCACACATTTGGACCTTTAAACAAAGGTTGACACATCTGTAGATTAAGATTACACTAATACCTCATATATAAACAAACAAATACAATGAATTGAGCTCAATATCATATGCACGTCATTTTCTGAGCCAAACCAAGACCTCTAAGAACATGAAGACAAACTCAGAGCACATAACGAAGAGCATATAAATATAGACAGTGGGGTCCAAAAGTACATATACATACCATAAACTGTATATGCGTGCATATATTTATCCAGCAGCCAACCAGGGACACGTGGCGGACAGATTTAGGTGAGGTCCGACCAGTGTGGCTTGAGGTCCAGCTGCCGTCGTATCTATTCTGGGTTACATTTCCCACCACAACACCAACTCCAGAGTCTCTCACCCAACTGTCAACACCACTCACCCCCTTCCAGGATTCCTCAGAGGGGACACACCCTGAGCAGGCAGCCATGCTTTGGACCACAGTGACCAGGCCAGTCCGTCAACCCCAGCTGAGGTCTCAAACACCCTCAAAATATCTGACATTATCACTGGACTGAAAAAATCAGTTAGTAAGGCTGAAGTTGAAGTGTAGGCTGTTTGGTTACATGTTGATGTGTGATCTGAGGATTTTATCATAGTACTCCTCATAAGTTTGGGGAAATTGCTAGAGAAAGAGATGCAGCACTAACTTATTTCCTAGTATGGGTCAAACTCAAAAATACTGGCTACTGCAATTTTGACCATGCAACTAGATAGTGTCTTAATTAAACTTTCCCTAACTAATAAAGGCCTACGTCCTTCTAACTCTACACCCACAGTTTGTAACTCAGGCTTTTTGTTTAAAATGTGTTGTGTCCAAGCCAAAGCCGAGACACCACCATAGGGTTATTTTCTCAGATTTTATAAACTTCCCTCCAGAGCCACGGAGGACATTTTACATCTGTTTTCAGAGTTTAAGTAGTACTGCTCATGACAAATAAACTGATCTTTATATGTAAAAATAGTGGAGTACCCCTTAATCAGCTGCAACCCCAGAATGTGTTGCAGAAGTTGGTCACAGCCATTGCAAGCAAAAATCAATGATGTCATTTATAGAGCTTCTATAACGGTCCCTCGTCTCAGGGTTTCCACAGGATTTTGGAGCCTGCCTGCAGGGTTTACTCCCAGTCAGAGCATTAGTGAGGTCTAACACTGATATTGGGAGACAAGCTGTGGATCTATTTCATCCTAAGGGTGTTTGATGAGGGTGAAGTCAGGTTTCAAGGTATGAAGACATACTTTTGGCCATGTAGTGTATAAGAGGGTTGCAACTAACAATTAGCATTATTGATTAAGTTGCTAACTACTTGCTAACGATTGCTCTTTGAAACATCAGACAACTGCAAAAATGGCAATCCTACTGTCCTAGAGCAAAAGCTGATATCAAGTAATGTCTTGTGTTGTCTGACTAACAGTGCAAAAGTCAATCTACTATAAAAAAAGACTAAGAAAAGTAGCAAATTCTCACGTCAAAGTTTGATCCGGCAAATGTTTGGGATCACCTAAAAAAAAATGACTTGAAAAATGGTTAACTGATCATCAAACAAAACGATTAATTTTCTGTCAATCACCTAATTGCCTAATTGATGCGGCCCAAGTGAATAATATCCCAAATGCTTTTTTGCCAATAAAAAGGAAACTCAGTTCACCTGTGTTTACACTTCACTACAAAAGTCCTGGAAGTCTGAACTCAGTTGACTTGGTCACAACTACATTACAGCCTGGTGTCATCTCTAACCAAACTCAGTCCCCAGGCCCAGGACTGCAGGCTTATTCTGGCCACAGGCAGATTCATGACTGGCAGAATCACTCAAGTCATGTCTAAGCTTTTAATTTCTCTGAACTCCTAAAGCCTTAACCTAGCACTTCTCGTCTCTGCTTCAGTGATTTAAATATGGTCTACTTTCTGGCACAGCAGGCACCAGTGCAGACCTGAATAAAAGCTTATGCAGTGAGACAACAGTACCGATGTATATCGCCCAAGAAACCTTTTATCCTCAGCTCTGATGTTCTGATCCTATAGTTAACTAATAACATTCTCCTTAACCTTGCATAGAGTGTTTTATGATTGAGCCAAACTAGCCAAAAGCTACACTATGATATGATAGGAAAAAATCTTAACAACCAGAGTTTCCCCATACCAGAAAAGTGACAGTTGAAGTTTCTTAAAGATGCTCTGTTATTTAATTCTCGCTATGTGCTCTCAGCTTAGATGCAATAATGTCTCTCTAAGTCTCTTTCCATCTGTCCAGCCTGTGGCTCTGCTAGGCGGTGAGTGGTTACTGAAGTGTCATGGGCCGGGGGTTTACAGCTCCTTTGCTCTGTTAACAACACAGATCCTCTGATTGTTAACAGAAGAACCTCACACTCACACTTCTGCTCCGTCTGTGTGTATCTGTCTGCGAAGCCAAAAACCTCAAGCTCTGTCCCTCTAATCTTCCACACCTCCATCTAGAAACCCGGAGCAGGGTTAGTCTGACCTCTCAGAGCTCCATGGAGAGGTCACAAGCCAAACCTCTCCTTTCCTCTTGTGGTCAAAGCACTGGAAGGAATTATTTTATTCCTCCATTATTTTTATTCCCTCTTCGCCCAGTGAGGCTGAAGTTATTTACAGGGCTGCACAGCAGAGCAGAGCTGAGAAAAGCAAAGTGAGGAGGGGAGGAGGTGAGATGAGCGTAAAAAGAAAAGGGACAAGAGACCAAAACAGATGGAGGGAATGGAGAGAAGAAGAGAGGAGAAGCCGGCTCTTGGCATCGTTCTCGCTCTCTAGCAAAGAGCCGAGCCGAGCAGCTGAGGCTGGCTGCCCAGGAATGCAACTGGAATCTGAAGCCTCTGCTTAGTCCATTGGCGTCCCACAGAGCTAAACACTACTTATGAGTCGCTCCCCTGATCCCCAGTGAATAAACCTCCTTCACCTTGCTTTCATTTTTTGCGTTTGTGTGGGTCTGTGTGTGTCTCAGGTTATGAAGAAGTGGTCAGAATTCCCAAAGGATCAGTGTTCATCCACATACAAGAGCTCAACATCTCCCTCAACTACCTTGGTAAGATGATATTCAAAGCTAACTTTCAGTATAATTGCCTTTCAAGGGAAATAGATAAAGAAATATGAAACCTATGACAATAACCACAAAGCTGCTACTATACTCATTAACCTTTTTTATGTTATATAGCAATAAGATGTGCCTGGTTGAATGTCTTAACCTCGTCAGGAATACTCCAGCATTTTGGGAAATTTGTTGTCTTACCAAGAGTTTGATGGTTAGATCAATGTCAGTTTAATATCTCTGCATTCAATAGGTTTTTTTCACACCAGACTTTTTGACTTGTTATTGCAAGAAAAGCACAGGTGCAGAACTACTTCAGTTTCAGTTTTCTGGGGTTGTTCTTTCTGGCCCACTGTCACCACTTACTGGGACACAATAGAACAGAGCCATCGTCAGTGTTATTAGTAACACCTGTGCTTTTCCTACTATGACAAGTCAAAAGTCTGTTGTGAAAAAGGCCTGTATCACTGAAATACAGGCCTGTTCAAAGGCTTAGGGCACTCAAAGTAAAGTGAGGATGCTTTCAAAAATAATGGCACAAATAGTTTTTTTTTTATTCATCAGTTAACTTCTTGCATAGTACAGTAAACAAAAAAACTTAATCAAATCATTATTAGGTGTGATCACCGTTTACCTTTTAAAATGGCACCGGTTCTCCTTAGCATACTTGCACACAGTTTTTTGAATGCAGCAAATATTGTTTATTGACATCTGCCTGATAAAAATATCTGCCCTGAAATACACAGAAGTAGCTCATGATGTGTGTAGTCTAAATTATGCTACATTAATGTCATGTTGATCAGACGATAATAGACCTCTCTCACACCAGACACTTTGGCTTGTCACAACTGGGAATTGGCATTTCATTTAGATGAGCTAGTTTCAGGTGTTTCTGGTGTTGTGCGTGCTGGCTCACTGTAATGGCTTACAGGGATGTTTGATGGAGAAAAATTAGTTTCACCTGTGCTTTTCCTGCTATGACAAGTCAAGATGTCCACCATGAAAAAGATCTATTATGAGTAGCCAAGTTGGGAAAAATAGTTGACGTCACGTCTGCGATATCAAAAATTTCTAACAGCTGCAATATTTCCCACTTGGTAAAATTAACTACAGAAGCGTCTACAAACCGGTGACAAAGCCACCAACACAGGTAGTTGCATCTAAATAAAATGCAGCCAATTCAGTTAATTTAAAAGGTTTACACTGATTTTTGAATCTTTTGTTACAGAACCTCAACAATGTAAGACAATAAAAGTAGTTAATTTAAAGTGTTAAAATGGTGTGACCACAGGGAATGATGTGAGAATGTTCCCAAGTTGGAGTAAAAGGAAGTTTTCCTGTTCTTCCCATTCTGCCGACTTTGCTTGAATGCAAAATAAGCTTAAACATTGTAGTGGGAAGCAGTTAGCCTAGCTCATCTTAAGTGCATTATAGCAACTCCAAAGAAAAATTGTGTGTGTGTATTTTACAGGACTTCAGAGGTAGTAACTTTGCTGTCTTTGCACAGTTATATAACTGATGTATTGGTTGCTAGCCTGCTAGTTAACAAAATACAAAATGTAACTAAAAAAGTTTTGGAGCCGTTGTGCAGGATGTTTTCTCAGGATGCTAGAGCCTGCAGGATACTTTTTTCCCCCTGCTTCCAGTGTTTTGTCCTTGCTTGGCTGAATATTTTTCAGAGGAATGTTGACCTGTGTTGTCAAACAGTTTAGGCCTGTGATCATCAGATTAAATGATGCACACCTGGTATTTATTAGCCTGATCATTGTTAAGGAAAAATTGATGCTTGAAACTGCAAATATGTCTCTGTCTGTTTTTGGAGTAACTTTGCTCATATATATTTAAAGTATCAGTGGCTATAAAACACATTTCACAAACTCCTGGTGTTAGTCCTTTTAAGAAAAAATATCCAGTTAGTGCATGTATTTGTTCCTTTTACTTTACTGTCTTCATTCAATGTCCCTTTCCTCTGTGTCCCAGTGCTGAAGAGTAAAGGTGACCAGTATTTTATCAATGGGAAACTGACCATTGACACACCGCGCCGGTTTGATATCGCCGGCACCACCTTCCACTACAGGCGGCCCACTGATGGGCCAGAAACTCTTGAAGCTATGGGGCCAACAAACATAACCCTTATTGTCATGGTAAGAGTAGAAGTACAGTGCATTTTTAGACTAAACAAACCCAAAAATAGGTTTTAAAAATTTCCATAAAGTTTCGTCATCTTGCGGTGTTAAATGTTTGGACATATATATGTATAGGTGCTGGTGAGGGAGGAGAATCCAGGGATCCACTATCGTTTCAACCCCCCGTTCAACAGAGATCCTCTGAGCGGCTTTGCCTGGCACCACACCTCCTGGTCACGGTGCTCAGCTCTCTGCGCTGGAGGTAGAAACACAACACACCATTAAACTGATGTCATTTAAGAGGAAACTGCATGGAGACTTAACCTTACCGGAACCATAAACATTACCACGACATGCCTAACCCCAAGCCTAACCCTTACATTACACTAAAACCAATTGTCAACCCTAAAATTAAAGGGTTGGACAAGGTTTTTTTTCCCAAAAATATGTGGTTACTCTCAATGATGTGATTGTGTAAACAGATTTATAACAGATGAGGTAAAGTTTTGGGTCAGTTTTGTTAGATAAAGGTGAACAGAAATCTCTTGCCATACATATTAGTCAATTATTTTTGTTTTGATTTGGTTCATTTAAATTTGTTCAAAGACATAGTTAAACATTATGTGAACTACACTTTTGTATGTTCTTGTTGAGTCTAGCACGTAGAACACGTCAAACCACATCAAACCACAACTTAATAATTTTACACCCTGGTTTTTGTATGGATGAAACAACCAAGATTTTGCATGTTTAGTGATCTTTAGAGGCAGATTTTTACAACTTTGGACAGAGCTAGGCTAGCAGTTTCTCCCTGTTTCCAGTCTTTGGGCTAAGCTAAGTGGCTCCTGGCTGTACTTTTTCTGACAGATACGAGAGTGGTATCAGTCTTCTCATCTAACAAATACAAGCCTATTTCCCACAATGTTGAACTGTTCCTTAAGGGTGAGTTTTTGTATTTGAGGCCACATCGTCCACAGTGGTTGTATATATTTAATTTACCTAAAGAACAGCCTCATGTATGTGTTATGAATTACATCAATCATCTCCCCCTTTCTGTCTCTGTCTCACATGGATGTACAAACAACATACATATTCACTAACACACACATACAGTGGTGCATTAAAAACACACAGTATAAATCCTTGCCGTAGAGTATCACTGACCCAGAGAAGCCACCATGGGACTGGAGTGTTTATGGAGTCCATGTCGAAGCCAGAGGCGTTTGAGCAGCTCACAGGCTCTGAGGTTTTGGAGATACCACACATAGCCAATCTCCTTTTTCCTCTCTGGCCTTTGTGAGTTAATGATCCATGTCGCTGCACCTGATAAGAGCCAATTTTCCCCTTTGAGAAATAAATTCTTTCACTTACCATTACGTGGAGTGAAGGATGTGAACATGGAGGATAAATATTTAGTTTACAATTTTTTTTAAGTGGGCGTACTTTTGTTTTTTTATTTTTTGTTCTTTTCTAATATTCTTTGATGAAATCAAAAGGTTTAGGACCTTGTTATATTTCCATAAATGTCTCGGCACAGCTCTAGTGGAATTGTAAGCGGCTACAATCCCCAGTAGGTTACATAAATGTTGTGATAATATAATTTATCACAGTTTTAAATCACACCTCTGCAGTGTTATACAGACGGTAATAGTATTCAAGGTGCAGTGTCTTTAATGTGGTGATCCAGAAAGCTAAAGTGATAAACTGCTACTTTTCAGGAGAGTTGATGCACATCAACATGTTGTGTGGTTTCACATAGAAAACAGTGGAAATTAGTGTATTGATGCATTGTTTGCTACTGGTGTGTTCTGGTCTTTAGAGTGCCACGGAAAATGATATGGGAAATGTCAGCCATTGTTTGATGATATTTGTGTGATGCTAACTTGTTGGTACTGAAACTGGGGGATAAACAGGCATTGAACTGAAAAAAAATAAAATAATACTTAGCTTTTTGAAAATGTTGCTGTCACTTGTGATAAGCAGAATTACTCATCAGTGTGGCAGGTCACAGGGTTCAAAACTACTGACATGAAGAATGAATACATATCATGAAGACTCACATCTTCATGTCCTTGTATAACTCTCTGTTTTACATTTGTCTTGGGTCATCTCACCTGTCAGGTGCGCAGATCCAGCAGGTGGTGTGTAAGAAGCAGGCAGATCATTCAGTCGTCTACAACCACTTCTGCGACAAGAAGAACAAACCCAAAGAGAAAAGGAGATCCTGCAATACTGAGCCGTGCTCCCCAACGTGAGTTACCTCTTGTTGATAAAATATTCTTCATGTGGAACACACCATTTCTTGATGAGTTTGTATCTTTCTTGTTGCATGTGAGAGTGTGTGTTTTTTTTTATTTCATATGTATCGTTTCGCCAGTTGTAGTTTTCAGTTTATGGGTGGGTTGTCTGTAGCCCCTGTTTGATGAAATACCCTTATACTGATGGTATAATGATATATGAATGGACTTGATTTAGTTGTATCAGTACAGTGCAGGTTTCCTGCTAACAGTCACACTTGGGTAGTAATGAAGGGATGAAAAGACTGATTTCACCTTTAGGTACGACTACAGATATTTATTATAAATTGTGTTTATTTAGTCTTATTTACTTTTTTGTGCATACATGCACTTATGTGTTTATTGCAGTTGTCATGCTTTCTATGTAGGCACAAATATTACAAATTTGGTGTTCCTACCTGTGATTCCTGTTTGTACAGTATCATATCTTTCTGTAGTACATCCATACTATCACACACGATGCCTTAAAAATTAATCAATTAAACAGAAACTAAGGGTCCAACTCCTCTCTGCTTCTAGCTGGTGGACAGGCGAGTGGTCGGAGTGCAGTCGCAGCTGTAACGGCGGCCTGCGGACTCGGGAGGTTTTATGTAAAAGGAGGATCTCTGTGACAGAGGAGAAAGTCCTGGATGACTCAGCCTGTACCCTCCCACACCCCTCACTCACTGAGCCCTGCAGCAACCACAGCTGCCCCCCTGAATGGCTGGCCCTGGACTGGTCAGAGGTAGGCGCACATTGGAGGTCTCCAATCATGCATGTGCTCTGCATGCACTCCTGCAATGTTTTTAGTCAACTTGGGGATAAACTTGAACCAATACTTGAATTTTCTGAAAAATTCCTCTCAGATGAAGCAGTAGTTTCTTTTCCAGATGAACCTTACAAACCCAAACGTCTGCCAGGAGAAAGTAAGAGTACCTTAACCATGAAATACACAACAGAGGCACAGAGCAGACAAATACATCATACTGAATATGTTGTTTCAGTCATAAGTACATACTGTTACACTCATGTGAGAATCCCCTAACCTATTCTTAATTCTGACCATTAGTTTGAGCAGTCTGGAGGAGTAAAAACTCCCCCAGTGTAGTTACACTTTGGTAAAACTAAATGTTTAAGACTCTTGTTGACTCTTTCTTGTGTTCTTTAACTACAAAAAGGCTGAAAAGTATTCACCTCATACCCTATTTTGTTCCTGGAACTAAACTTTGTTCTCACAGTTTGGGATGAATTGAAACCAAATTAAATGGTGTCAGAAGTGCTGCAGTGTTCAACTTTGTGAGGAATTATGTCCAGCTGACTTACAGGAACTTAGCAAGCTCTTGACTTTGTTTCTTACACGACTGCTGCCCTCTGCTGAGTGGATTAAGAATATGTCTTTTTGAATGCTTGTGACCGCAGTGACCCCCTGCTGCACCCTCCCATCGCCCCCATTTCCCTGCCCTCCCACCTGATGTTTTCCCTTTTTTCCCTCCCTGTTTCTCCACTCTTTCTGCAGTGTACACCCAGTTGCGGACCTGGATACAGGCACCGTGTGGTCTTGTGTAAGAGTGGGGAAAGTGGTGACACGCTGCCAGAGTCCAAGTGCCCCAAGCATGGCCGTCCAACCTCCAGAGTGCGCTGTAATCTGCAGCGCTGCCCTCCCCCTCAGTGGGTGACAGGTCCCTGGGGAGAGGTGAGAAAGGCTTTTGGTTTATTCTTGTTCATAATCATGGTTATAGTGGGACATTTTTATACAAATCAGTGTCTGTTTTGAACTTATATACCCAGTTCAAATGTCTGTATGTTTTATGTGTTGTTGTGTTTCAGTGTTCTGCCAAGTGTGGTCTGGGTCAGGAGATGCGTTCAGTTCAGTGTCTGACCCACACTGGCCAGCCATCCAATGAGTGTCTGGAGCATCAGAGACCAGCAGCCATGCAGCAGTGCAAGAGCAAATGTGACCTCAGTCTGCCCATCAGTACAGACAACCCCGAAGGTCAGAGGATAAAGAGCAGTCCTTATAGTCCATATTTCATAGAAACAACAGAATAGGAAGATTTCCCACTTAGAGGTTTCATTTGAACAAAATGGTCATGCTCAAATTAAGATTTTGATTTTAAAATGCCCTAATTTGTAGTCTAAAATGTTCTAATTTCTGAGGCATTCAGGGAAATTATTGTGAACTGGATGCCATCAAATCAAATTCAACTTCAAAATATCTAACCCCAGAGTCAAATTTAGTAAAGTCTGCTCAGATTCTGTATATAGCTTTTTTTATTATGTTGTCGTAATAAACAAAATGTTTAATGTTAATATACAATTTATTGTATATAACCCAGATGCACTGTTTTCTTGTCAGTAACAGACATCAAATAAAATTGTACTAGTATATACATACATACACACACACATATGCATATTATTATGTATAAATGGTATAGATGATAATAATAATGCATTTATTTGTATTTCCATTTATTGTGTGTGTGTGTATGTATATGTGTGTATGTAGTGTATATAAAACACATTTGAAATAAATAAAACATTGGCAAACAGTATTACAATGCATTAAAAGAAGGATTATATGGATTTATATAAATACAAATAAGAATTAGATGAACATGAATTTCATAAAGCTTGAAGTGAGAGTAAATAAAGACCAGGATACAGACTACATGAAAGCATGATTTAAAAAGGTGAGCATGGCAGATGTTTATGGGAAGGCACCTACAGAATATTAAATCATTTTCATATATTGCATTGAACCTTTTTTTATACAATATGTGAAATATCTGATTTTCTCAAGCATCAAGAAGTTAATTAATAAATTCTTTAATCCACAGGCCATATGTCAGAGGATCTCAGGAAGTCTTTGAGCAATAAAGGTTGATAAAAGTGACTAATTTCTTGATATTTTGATTGAAATCCTGCAGTGTTTCTAAAACATCTGCTGTAAAAATATATCACTCTAATGCCATAATTAAATTGTTTCATGTGTGTCTCCCCTGCAGAGTGTAAAGATGTGAACACTGTGGCCTACTGCCCCCTGGTGCTCAGGTTCAAGTTCTGCAGCCGGCCATATTTCAGACAAATGTGCTGCAAGACCTGCCAGGGACACTGACACCATGAAACACACAGCATCCATCTTTGGGTCCTGTACACACTCACATACAGTAAGCCTGAAACCCTCCCACTGAGCCGTGTAACAGCAGCCCTCACGCTACCTCTGTCAGAGGAGTGTGAGATCTAACTGGGATGCTGTCAGACTGACCTGGTCCTGTAACTGGTCAGAGGGACCTTTTCCAGCCAGAATCTAGACCAGACCAGACCAGACGCCTCTCTGGGTCGAGCTGGGCCAAAACAGCCTGAGCTGAGTTTATACATTCCACTGGAGGGAGGGCTGCTGAAACCTGGAGAGGCAGAGAGAGGGAGAGAGTAACTTTCCTCCATCGTCTATTAGGATGAACCCTCTCTCTCTGTCTCTCTAAACGATCTCTCTGTTGTAATATTTTGGTGCTACTTATATTTCACTTTGGCCGCAGGACTGGTCGCAGTACTCTTGAGTTTGTCTTTGCTTCAGTGACCTAAATTTCTTAAACCTGTATGTTAACAGGTGGTATCTGCTTAGTTATGAATTATAATAAAAATCCACTTTGTAAAGAAAATGATTTTCCAGATATCTTTGCCCATGAAAAGGAATATCTTATATCATGAAATGAAAGATTTGTCTCTATGTTATCTGATAGTTGTTACTTGACCGCGATGTTTTCTGCTATTGCTTTGTTCCGTATCATCGTATTCACCAAGTTCTCGCTGTTATTCATCTGGAGTATGAGCAGAGTTTGATTTGCACAAAGTGTCAGCAGTCAGAGGACTTGTGTACTTTATGTTTGTGTTGATGTGATTTGACTTGATGTCTCCATGGAAGCTATAATTGTGTCACTGCAGTGAACCTGCCATAGTCTTGCCATTTTGGTTAGTTTGCTTACATGTTATCACCTCTGCAGTAAAACAGTGCTTCATGTTGCACGCTGCCTTTAGCAATGTGAGCAAAGGCAGGGCTCACATCACCAGGACATTTTCACATTATGGGATGTTATATTGTGCTTTCACTGCGGACTGTGGCATAAAGTTTTCTTCAAAAAGGAACTTTAACAGCTCAGCTCATTTTCATTATCTGAAAATCCCTCAGCGTGGGCATTGCTGTTGATTTTTTTTTTTTTTTTTTTTTTTGGGGGGGGGTTGTTTTTTTTTTTTTTTTTTTTTTTTTTTTTTGGACGGGGGATTATTTTTGCCACATGTTACCACTTACTCGCCAGTGCTAGTAACTTTTACTGTGAGTGGAAATTCACAGCACAGTGAGACACAGTAAGTCAGCTCTGCCAGCAGGAACAGGCCCAGTGCGGAGGAGTGAAGACCTCTGACTGCACTGCTTTCAAAGAGCGTTTTATAGTCAGAGCGCTAATCTGAGGATGGATTTACACACACATAAAATATACACACACATAAAATATCTGATTTCTATGTGGCACAGATCTGGTTTATTCATGGCTGGGTGAAACCATCATTCACACTGCTGAGAGAAGATTTCTACCACACAGTTTTCTAAATTAAAGCTAATTTAAAATTATCTCCCAGTGTGTTAATTTTACACCTGCAATAAATGATTTTTTGGGTGCTTGGGAAACAAGTTGTGAACACAACATTGAAACATTATCACCGTTTAAGTTGATATAGTGAACTTGTTAGCCAACAGCTGCTTATTTACACATCCAGCAGTTACAGAGCAACTTAATCATTCCTTTGGAGTCATGTTTGTGTCTTCCTGGTGAATGTAATCCCAATATTTCTTCTTTTTTTTAGCTCTGTTTTTGTTCTCCATCAACTCCTGAGGGAAAGATATGGTTTTTTAGCTGCTAAAAGCTCCACTGTGTTCACAAGCCAATTGCAAACTATGTCTGTTTGGTGCTGAGCAAGTAGTGTACAGTGGCTTTTTCAAGCTTTTTCTCTGAAAACAGCTGCCTGAGAGTGGTGAGAGTGAACTAAAACAGTGAGGTTGTGGGCCAGACAGCTAAAGAAAGAGCTGAAACTTAGTATCAGGCTCTGTAAAGCGAAGGACAGCTGCAGATGGGGGTGATGATTCATAGGTAATGACCCCTTTCACATTGTCACATTGTTTTCACATTTGATCCATTATTATAAAAATATTGATTATTGCTGCTTTAATGGATCGACACACTCAGCGTACAGTTGGGTGCCGAATTCTCTAAAAGAATCTAAAAATCATCAGCAGGACAGCACAGCGGTTAAATGAGTTATTAATGCACAGATATTTGGGGCAGATGTTTTCCCTCAGTGCGCAAACCATCCTTTCCTGTGTGAATCCACGTCAGCTTTTTTCCTTTTAAAGACAGTGATATGATTATGTGCTATTGTACAGGAAAGATGTCACCTGACCCAAAGTTGTGCAGCACAGATTTCATTGAAGAGTTTTGTTGACATCATTTTTAAAGATGCTGTTTCAGCTGTTTCTCCATCCTGCAGATAATATTTTTAGAAATACTGCCTCAGTCTCTAATGAGTCACTGCGACGTCCACTGTGCTCTGAAGTCCGCTGTGGCCGGACTCTTCACATATGTTCACACTGATGACAGCTGAAAGCAGCTCCACTAAATGTCACATAATTTCATTGTAAAGAGAGGAAGCTACAGTGTGTCTTTATGGGGAGTATTGTTGTTCCATTTTTTTATTGTGGTGCTTTGGTTTGGATTGGTGCTATTAGTTCACTGTTGTTGTCATTGTTTCTGAATTATTGTTTTAACAGTTTAATTATTCAAAAATCAGTTTGAGCCTTGTGTAATAATACCAATCTGCAGAGCTGGCCTGAGCTGTAAGAGTGCAGCTGCTGAGGACCCCTCACCCACCAGGGGCCCTCTTTGAGTTTACCTGCCCATTTTTATCATAACTTCCATTCCCTGACTTGGGTTAAGTAGCCGAAAGTGCTCCTAAAATGCAGCTCACAGAACAAATTTGGGGGTTATATGACAAATACTGTAAAAAGTTATTGGGGTTTATTGTACAAAACGATTTTCAGGTGCTGCGATAATTTTTAGAATTTAAAAAAAAAAAAAAAAAAAAAAAACATTCTGGGGGCAATAAACCAAATTTGGGATTATCAACCCATGTTTGTCTTAGGCCAGCTCTGCTAATCCATCCATGTGGAGCATAGAAACATACATTTTATATGAAATTTAGTGTCTCCCTGCAATTATTCAGGACTGAAAAGGTGGAAGTACTATTTATAACATTTTCAGTTGCACATACTGTCAGACATTCAATGTTTCAGAAGATATTTCGAAGAATAATTGCCAGTGATCATTAATTTTTTTTTCTCTATATCTACCTGGGCCTATAATAAAGGTTCACACCGAGTGGTGAACCTGTTTTTTCTGAGTAAATAAGAGGGACAGTACCGGTAACTTCTGTTTTGTTTTTCACATGTTAATTATAACATGACATGTACTGTATGTTGTTCAATACTATAGAAGATGAATCCATCCCCCATGTACATCTTTTTAAAAGGAAATATTAAATTGATTAAACATGGTGCATTGTTGATTTTAAGAAATGAGACTTGGTCATTTTAGCTTGCTGTCCTTGGCATCCTTTGTGCATTTGGTACTGATACTTGTATTTGTATCAGTGCTACAGACATTTTTCTGTACTTGTGCTGAAATAGTGCCATTTCCTCCTTTTCTCGTCCAACCGGGGGTGGCGGGCTGAGATCATCATTTAAGGTTGTCTAATTTTGGATCAGACAAACTTCATGGAAAAGTTGAAGCAACAACTTTTTCCTTTTGTCTCAATGAAGCTTAGACATACGTCTTCAATGTGATTTTCATGACCTAGGACAAAAGTGAAAGAAAGGGTCAGTTGTAAAAGTAATGATTTTAGATGTGTGGTCCTTTCTAGCTTCCTTATATGTGCTATTTCAAAATAATAGCGATAGTGAAACACATGAAATATGGGAAGAAAGAGGGGTATGACATACTGGAAATTTTGTTTTAGAAATTTTTAAGACTACACACGCAAACCAGAAAATAAAAAATTAAATTTAAAGGAAAAACAGACTTATCTTCCCCCAATTTAGCATTTATAAGCAGTAAACAAACATTTAATGGACGTTTTATAACACTCTATAATGTGGTTGTGCACAGCTATAAAGGCATTTTTAAATGTTTATTCATAGTACACTAGTAGTCTGCCTGGACAGAGACACGGAGTGAAGTGAGAACCACGCCTTCTGAGTTGTCCAAAAAAACAAAAAACAAAAACAAATACCTGGCTTCAGTGGCTGGCACGTGCAGCGTCTTTTAATTGAACGTCAGTTTTTGTCTGTACCACACGCCTTAAGGTGAGAGCCTCTTACTTAACTTTATGTTAATCTTTATTGTCCTATATGAGGATATGTCAAGCTTGGTATTGCCAACTAGGTTGAGTTGAGTTTATTTTGCGAAAGCTAGCCGTCACAGTCTGCGTGTAGCGTCAGGTGTTGACTGTTTATACAGTCGTAGAGTCGTCACGTAGCTAGCGCTGCTGTGGGACGACGTTTAACGTTACTAACGTACAGTGGTTGAAAATAACTAGGTACATTTACTAAAGTATTTAAGAACAAATTTGAGGTACTTGTACTTTGCTTGAGTATTAATATTTAACAATATATAACAATATTAGTATTAATATTTAACACGATGGTTGACATAGCAAGATGTCTCACATGATTTAATATCAGTAAATGTTCAAATGATCCAATATTTCACCAAAAGTCAAAGATTAGAAATAAAGTCTGAAAACTGATTTGTGTATCAGAACTTAGTTTTTTTTTCTTTCCTCTCACATTTATCATCTCAGGACCCGATTTATCCGGTGTCCCTGTATATAACACTGTCTATGAAGTAGTTCAAACAAGCTCCACCTCCAGCAGCTACAACAGTAATTTGCTGCTTAAGCACTGATGCCTCAGTGTTTAACATGTAATGATGTCATATTTAATGATATACCAGTCAGACCAAACCAGTACTTTTACTTAAGTAGGATTTTTTTCAGGCAGGACTTTTACTTGCGATGGAGTATTTTTACATTGGTAACTTTACTTAAGTAAAGGAGCTGAATACTTCAATTTCCATTTTCTTTATGCTAAGATAATATAAGCAGAGCCAATACTGTAATATCCACGATGTAAATAAACAATATAATTTTGAATTTGTTTTGTAACATGAGACTAATTCCTGAGACAACACACACCACATGTACCACATACCACCACCACATTGACATCTTTGCCACCTTTTTCACCTCAGATGGGTTTTCACTGGATAAACACTTTGATCTGTAACCACAGAGACACAAA